TTTTGGATTCTGATGCCGAGCTAGTATTGTGGCTCCGGAATAGATTTTGGAGGTGAGGTTCTAATTCTAAGACCCTATTGGCTAGAGTGGAGAGAGAGGCCGTTTCTTCGAATAGGAATAAATTTTATACGTACCCAGTTACGTATTACTAGGGTTTTAGATTAGAGCGGGCCCTCTATATTTTTAACGCTTATTTAGAGACGAAAGCGGAGAAGAAATTTTATCCGAAAAATCGGATGAAAGAGAGGGGAGCGGGATTCGAACCTACGACCTTTCGGATGAAACCGAAGGTAAACCAAGCTCAGATCTTTCCAACAGAGCTATCTTCCCTATAATAATATAAACCCGCGACCGTATATTTTAAACTCTAACCTTATGTAGAGGGTCGATATTATAATATTAATAATTCTTTTAATTTAATTCTAAAATTAATATAACTGGTATCAATTGACTCAGCTAAATTTTGGGAATAAAATAATATATTTACATCGCTTTTTGAATAAAAAATTGTAATATTATTATTATTGTAAATAATTCAATATACGCGCCTTTTTCGAACCCTCTCTAAAGCGGTACTAATTATGCGGCTAGTCCGCTTCAATACTACCTGAGTAAACTACTAAGTACTATAATTTACCTATATACGCTAGGTTCAAATCCTTCTAAATTTTATTATATATTCGTTTTACTTAATTTCGACTACCCTTCTATTATCCTCGCCTTCAAAATTAACGTCAGTAACGTTCGTAATACTTTTATTATTATTTTTATTAATGGGAAGTTCTAATTTATATAAGTCTATTCTTTCAATCTAATTATAAAGTATAATAACCATATATACAATATCGTGCTAACTCTCAATAGGATATTCTAACGCCGACGACCTTACAATTTTAAATTGCCCTTTTATTTTGCCGATAATAATTTTAACCTTAATACAATATTTCGAATACTTCAAATTATATAACTCTTTCTTATTCCTCAATCGATTTCTTCGTCCTCCCTATTTAATTAAATAATATTGTACTATAAAGTATAGTACTAGGATCCTACGCGTTAAATAAAACCCTACGTTGATAAAATAGAACTTCCTTAGCGGTATTGTAAATCCAAATACGAATACTAATTTTAAAAATCTAATATTATATATCGACCCTTCTCTTCCCGGAAGTATATACGTAAATAAACCATCGAGTCCGATCGCAACGAAAATATTCTATATAGTATAATTCTTTCAACCCTGCTATACTTACGCTTTTCCCGCCGATACCCGAATATAAACGAAAATCCTATTGATAATACTAAAGTAGTACTTAAAGAACCGGCCTAACTTCCTATTCCTTAATACCGATTTATATACCGTATTAGGTATTAGAAGCGCAATAATATAGCTATATAGAAGGACTATAATATAAAATACCTCGTTGAAAGTACGGTTAATAGTCGTTATACTATAGTTAAACCAGTAGGCTATATTTCGATAGGTTTTATTATAAGCGTAAATATATACAAAAAAATCATAATCTTCTACTTAATAAATATCCCTATAGTACTATAAATACTAATATTTATAAATATCCAATTGACTAATTATATAAAAGGATATAGCCTTATACAATATAAATTAAATAATTTCGTATTTCGAAGGAGGATATTTCGAATAACCACCTTACATTCAAACTAATCTATATAAATTAATCCCTGTATAGCATCCTAACTACCGCGGGCCTGTATAGAGGTAATTACTAAAACGATAACAAATAATATATATACTAAAAAGAACCGCATTTATTATTAAATCTAATCCATAATCGACAAAGGTATTTCGATTTATTAGGGATTATTATATAAAAGAGAGTAGAAAAATTTATATTAAGTATTAAAGCACAACCGCTAACACATCCAATAAATACCAATAATATAGCTAGCCAGCATCCTAATAGGACCCCTATTACGCTGGATCAATAGTAAAAAAGCAGCTTTTTCCTATGTTTTCTAATCAACAACTCTTAGCATCTCACGATACCCTTTTAGGAAAGCAACAAGGCCTCATACAAGCGACAGGTTAATTACAGGGGGGTTACAGGGGGTTTACAGGGCTCCCTAATCGAATTGGTACTTCTCGAAGTCCCAAGTGCCTTCTCTAGCGCAATATACAGTATAATCAACTGCATATCAACAACAGGGATCATTTTTATATAAGAAACGGATACCATAGTCGAAAATTGGAACGCGCCCCTATTGTACGCTCTCTATATATATATATGTATGTAATATATTCCACCTGGTACGACATCTGGAGGCGTTGGTCTGTCGCTCCTGTCGCTCTGTATCTCGGTACACTCGGACTGACCCGAGGAGCCGCATCCTTTTGTGTTGTTGTCTTGTAGGTGTGGTTGAATGGTGCCAAGATGATCTAGGCTCGCCGTGTTAATTGTTGCGCGGGCGTCTTCACCGAGCAGGTCGAGGTACCACTAGCATCGGCAAGATCTGGCTAGTGTACGATAGTATCTGGATAGCTCGAGATAGCTTGGCCGATAGTGCTTGCAAGGTCAAGGGAGGCGGGGACCTTGGTAATGGTAGCTTGCGGCTCCCTAGCGAGCCAGCCGAATTAGCCAGCCGAACCAGCGCCCTGCTGATCATTGCTGTCGTTGTCGCTGTCGTTGCCCGGCAGGCAGGCAGGAAGGTGATCCCCTCATATTCAGTAAATGTCGGGTACTGTTGGAGGGATGGGTGGTTGCTGTCATGGCTGCTGTCGTAAGGAGGGATGCCAGATGATGGCAGATAGTGGCAGAACCTGATGCTGGACAGGAGTGAGATTGTTGAGACCGCGCCATCCGAACTGCTGGACAGGAGTGTCAGCGCATTTCGGTATTTTGGGATTTGCTGGAGTGATGGCATTGATAGAGTCAGCGAGTGGTGGACATGGCCCGGATTGTGGAGAGAACAAAGCGAGTTGACCAGTCGGAGTCTGTCTTTGCAAATCAAGTCGCTCAGTATCTTCTCACAAGTACCGAATCTTGAAACGGTGGGAGCGGGGATAGCCAATAACAGAGTATGGATTCAATGCTTCAGCGGCTTGACATCCAGAGTGAAGAGCGTGGCTGACATGGACCAGGCACATTGCAAGGCACTGCAGTCACCGACCATTCCCAGAACGGGATCCTGACGCGAACTGGCAATTTGGAGTTGTATTTGACTTGTATCAGCTTTATCATTCTCATCTTGTTGCGTTTTCGCTTTTCGACTCTACGATACAACTTGATCAGACTGCCCCTGCCGCTGATACAGGTTAACTGTCACTGTTTTATTTTCTTCACCGTCACCAACTCATCAAGACATCAAGCTGCCCTGGATTCCGACTGGTCCAACCATCCGGCTGGCATAAACGAGAAAAAAGCAAAGAGAGACAAACTGTTAATCACTTGGATACCGCTCATACCACCGTCCCGTACACAGTAACCGAAACAATGTAACGCTTTATCGCAACAAGGGATTGCATCTGGTTAAGTCAGTCAACACCACCACATCATCACTTCATCACTGCTACAACATGGCAACCACCACCACGGCACCACCACCACGGCACCACCACCACGGTCACCACCACCATTTGCGCCGCCACCGCCACAAAGCCAATATTATACTCGCAAAACGCAAACAATGGTGTCACAATGCTACCCACTTTCACGACCATTTCCGAGCACCCGAGTTGGTGTCCCGAGGCGTGTGGATGTGTCTGTGGATGTGTGGGTGTTTGACACCTCCACCATGCTTCGGCCAGATCTCTTCCGAACATGACTCCGGATGATGGGGCGGATGACGGAGCGGGTGACAAACCAACGTCCACTACTCTTCAGAGACCGAATGGAGCCCGAAAGAGGAGGCGGTCTGTCTGCCCAACTGCCACCGTTTCATTCCCATTGCTCACCTTTTTTATATCGACTTCCACAACATAACGTGACGCCTCGGTTGAAGCTACCGTAGCATGGAGCCAAGCCTCAGGTCGCCGAGCAGAAAGGCCCTCCACCCTCACCACCTGGCCATCCCGTGCTCCTCAAGCGCTAGGTACCAGGGCTTGAAGGGCTCCAAAGGCTCCATCACCGGATGCCGGCCGAGTGGAGAGCTCCCCACATGCCATCTCCATTCCATTTTCCCTCATCTCGACATCACCGGTGCACATTGGACCAGCCTTCCCTGCTGATTCGCTAGGCCCTGTCTTGACGAAACTTCCCCCAAAGGGCCCGGTCCAGGGAGAGCCTGGGAGCCTGGATCATGAGCCGGATCCTGGTTTCCCAAAAAAACTAAACTTGCGAGTCGAGTCAACTCCAACGTCGTCCGAGTCCCTCATCTTCCGCTGGAGCGGGTGCCGACGGGCTTGGCCCATACAAATCGCTGGAATCATGTAGCGCTGACCCGGAACTCTGCATCGACCCGGTAGGACAGTATATCACAGTACGGAAATAGCTGCCATGTTCAAAGCAGTGCCACATGACACGTCCTCCCTCGCCAGCTTTCTCTACACGCTCGGTACCGCAAGTGGAAATGGAAATCAGGCCTCAGAAACAGGCACTCGGTACCGTTGATCATCCTGCGAACCCGGAATCCGGAGAGGGGGAACATATTATTGTCGGCTTTGGATTCGCTTGGCAAGGCGCATCCCGGTGGAGTGGGCGCCATCAGACATCAGACGCCACGCATTTGTTGGTTCTCTGGCTGCCACCGACTGCTGTTTCCCAGCTCCGCGGGCAGCGGAGCTCGATACCTTTTTCGAGGAAAAGCAGTGACCAGGGAGGAGACGCGGTACGTACAAGGCTCACACCGTCATCGCGGAATATCAGGGTCCTGAAATTCCACCAAGATTGCCGCCCCTTCAGCGAACTACGGAATACGGCTTGCCCATCATGGCTTGCACGGTCCTACATATCAGCTGTGCGAACACTGCATGCCAATCCCATCCCAAACCTGGAACAAATGTTTACGGTGAGACGCGATGCGACTTACCCAGCCTTCGTAGCCGGCAACTCTGGCACGAAAGAGATACAGTCTTCTTGAACCATCTCGGGTCACTGGCATCGCGGTGCCTATTCTTGTACACTACCGAGACTACGGGCGTGCTCATGGAAAATGGAACTTGCCGCACCATCATCTTTCGCTGACTGAACTGCGCTAGCGGTTCATCAAGCAAGGAGCATCGGGGACGATCTCTCAAACCCCTTGCTCCAAAGCCCACTTGTCGTCCACAGTTCATCTCAGCCCCTCGGCTTCCTCCTGGTCGTCCTCCGCCATTTGCGCTAACGGGACAGTCCTTGAGGCCCGTAGCAACCCCCCCTGTAGGGAGCGCGCAACAATTGCGGGCACTTGCGAGCTTGCGCACAGACTGCGGCAAGACGTAGCCAACGGTTCGACGGCCTTGCTAACCTTCCCCGTTGCTAGCTCCGTGCCCTTGGTATGCATGGCGTAACGGCGGGTGCGGCTTCAACCATCATTGGCGGCTGGCCCATCCACTGGGACCGCTGCCATCCAAGCGCACGGCGTCTGATGTGCTGAGATCCGATGTACAAGTACGGTTGAGAACCGAGTGCTTGTCACTGCACGCCAGTATCCTGCACCTACGCAGCACACAGTACCTTCTATGCGGTAGGTAGACATTACCAGTCGGGACTCAGCAGGTTGAGCCGAATGGTGACTGCGGTCCAAGATGCGGTACCTATCACACCCGAAAGAAAAGCGACCAAACGGCAGTGCTCCATAGCATCAGTGACTCTCTCGGAGCCTCATCCGGTGCGAGGAATCAACAGCATGATAGGCACACATGCACCCGTTCCTACCAGCATCCACTTAAACGGTCCCAACCCCGCCTACACTTCCAGTACGCGCACGCCTCGGTCGAAAATGGATGACGCCCCGTTGCCAGCCCGTTTTCCTGCTTGTGCTCGGGGACATGGCAGTTCAGACAAATCCAAGAAGGTGAGACGAACTCCCTGAAATAGCGTACCCCCCGAGCCAGTGTCATTACGGCGACAAGACGTGAGTAGTGAGAGACTGACCCGAAGGGCCCTGAAGATACGTCCCGCCGTCAGGGGATTTGAACCAGAACAACTGCCCCGTACTTTGATACTCCGAACAGCCACAAGGGCGGCTCCAGACTACGGCACGGCGGTCTATTGTATTCGTCTTTACAATATTGCATTTATGTTAACAATTCACTTTTTTCTTTGTTCTTCCTTTCTTTGGCATGGTGATTTTCCGTATGGACGGTTGACCATGGAAGCAAGGAAACCGGGGGCAAGATGGGCAGACCAGGTCCGGGGTCCGTTGTCAGCGCGGCCCCTGGATTCCATATTCAAGATCCCAAAAGCCCACCGAACGAACGGCTTTGCGTTCAAGACACACAGGGCAAAAAAAAAAATTCTCACTGGTGGAACGTATCTTTTTGGCTTCATCTGATGTCCCTGGTCATTTACAGATGCAGGGGGTTCTTACGAGCGAGCAAAAGCCATGGACGGACTCAAAATACAAACCAGGACAAACAGTCTGGCAGTGACGCAGCACAACGACAACAAGAACAGGGACCCCCAAGTATGCTTCAACGGTACGGTTACCCCATTGAAACTCCTCAGACACTGCGAGCAATGGCATAAGGTGTTGTTGCTGGCATTTCCTGGTGTTTCGGTGCATCAGTTGCCCTGAATACGGACTGCGCATTGGGTTCAAACCTTTAGGTTTCCTCGACAAACACTCCCTGGGGCACATCATAACTTTCATGACCCCCTTTTCACCACCTTTTCTAGCAAGTTTACCACAGGTACCATCGGACAAGAGGGTGGGTACGGGTGATGCGATCGCTTCAACGCAACGCTAGACCGCACTGAGTAGCATCACTTTCGTGCTGTATCGAAACCTGTACCCCCTCAACCCTTTGTATACCAAGCTCGCCGTTGCTACGCTACTCAGGCCTGCTTTTGCACCTTCTGTCCTCCTTCCATTCACGTTCCGTTACCCATTTTCAGAGATTCTTCCGCCCTGCGCGTAACTAAGGTATTGTTTCTGCGTCCACACTTTCTTCTAGCAGCCGATCCTACACGTGTAGATGCAAGGTGTCGGTTTTCACAGCAGGTCGGAGAACCTAGACCACACTGTACTGGTATCTGGAAGCACTGGAGGTTGTCTTTCACTACACTGCTGTATATCTCAGGTTTCACTACGTATTAGCTTCCACTGGCCGTTCAAACGGCGGAAATTCCCCCACATTCCTCCCCTGATCCTGAAAGGAGAAGGAAGCATTGGGGGACACGTACGGATAAGAAGGACGTCCGCCGGTGCTACTTATACGCTTGCTGGTTGTAAAAAGAAGACGCGACCTGGGGATCTACTCGTACAGCACGATCCCGACTCAGACACCGAGGACAGCAACCACCAAAGGCAAGAGCACGAAAAGGTCAGCGGGGCGAGCCTTTCAGGTTTGACGAAAGCCAGCCGCAGCATATTCGCGGATCATAGCGGCGGCGTTGAGGTTGCACGGCGCTGCAACACTGTGAGAACCTGGGCAGGATTTTCCCAACAGAGGCACGGTGGACGGTGCCTTGAGCGAGATTTGACCTCCAGAGCTTGAGACATTTTGTGTGAATGAGTCTCCGGCACTGGGGGGCTTGGGCCACAAAAACATAGAGGGCCTGGCGCCCACCCACGCACCTACACCTACGCACCGACACGTTCTGTTCACCAACGCTCTCGCCGTGCTAAAGTTGCATGCAGGAACGGCAGCCAAAGTCACAGAGGGTGTACCGGCCAGAGGAAGCTCGCGCCGTCTTCTACCAACATCCTTTAACAATCGAACGTCGCGAAAGACTACCGAACGACGGTAAACACGAAATAAACAGTGGTGAAAACACCTACACGGATCGTTTTTGAGCGCTGCATCTTCCAGAGCGTACCTTGGTGCGTATCCTCTGGGTCGGTATCAGAGAACCTGGCGCGCGTGTTGCAGCATTAACCGTGGCCGGGGTGTGGAAAATTACCAGGTGAAGCGAGGAAAAGAGAAGGAAAGAAAATAAAAAAGGAAAAAAAGCAGCAGACTAGTGGCCTCGTGGGAATTGCTAAAAAACAAACCCCCGTCCTGGTTCGGTCTCCATTCCGCCCAAAACTGACGAGACCGCAACAAGGTCCCGTCTGCATGTTCCTCGACCGGCATCTCCCCAGAATCCATCCTATTGGGGACCTTGTGGAGACGGTTCCGAATCAGGCTGCTTCTGCCGGAAACTGCCTCCTCTTAAAATCCAGCACCATGGCAGCTGCGTCGTCGCACAACAACAATAACAAGCCAACATGCCCTCGATCCCCCGTTGACCCGTCCACTGACACTCCATCATACGACGAGTCACCCGTCTCGTCGGCTACCTCTGCGAAGCCGCATGCGCCGCAGCAACAGTATCTTGGCGGCCTGACTACTGTACCAAGGACGACCCCGGCTTCATCGGTTCCGGCTTCAGCACCTCATCCTCCTTCACCACGATCGCTACCGCAGCCACCACACCCACCGAGGATCTCCATTCTAGCATCATCTTCGACCGAGAGCCTTCTCAACCACCAGCCTTCTCACCAGAACTCATTCCGCTCATACACGCCTGCCACAGCAACGCCCTTCACCATGGGAGGCCGAGACTCCCTCCCGTCCAACGACTCAGTGTCTGGTACGCCGGGCCCTTCGTCCGGTCACCAGTTGCCCTCATCCAGTTCACAAGCCCAAAAACGGGCATATCGCCAGAGGAGGAAAGACCCAAGTTGCGACGCCTGCCGAGAGAGAAAGGTCAAGTGCGACGCAACCGACACAACCAGCTGTTCCGAATGCTCGAGCCGAAATGTCAAGTGCCAATTCACCAAGGAAACGAACCGGCGAATGTCTTCCATCAAGCAGGTGCAGGATCTCGAGAAGACGCTGGATAAGCTCAAGCGGGAGAACCTAAACCTGAAGCGAGCTTTGGAGACCCAGGGCCACGGTGTTCATGGCCATGCTAGTCATGGCCTAGGCCGTGGACAACCTCACATGCCCATGGACCGCATGGACATTGACAGCGGTCCCGTTGGTGGCATGGGCATTGAGCAGCTGCTTGCCCTTCTCCTTCCCGAAATAGGCGCCGAACCGAAGCCGAAGAAGAGACCTGTCCCGATTCCTGCGCTCGCGCAAGCCCGGTCAAACATCCGAATTCCCGCAAAAGGAGTGTGGAAGCCGCCAGCGCAATACCGACACTCGCCAGCTGGTCCATCCATGTTTGACTACACACCGAGGCCCGAGCTGCCCTCGCAACAGACAACGGACCACCTGATGCGCTGCTATTATTCGTCCGCTCATACCATGACGCCCATTATACACTGGCCCACCTTCCGGCAAGAGGTTGATAACTTGTACAGGCCAGGGGGACTATCACAGCATGCGCCTACGTCGTTTCTGGCCATGTTCTACGCCGTTCTGGCTGTAGGCGCTCTGTTTTCGTCAGATCCGCACCGTTCTTACCGGGCAGCCGAATGGATCGAGGCCTCTAGGAAGCTTATTGACCCTTGGGGTAACGACTTTGTGCTGGACCATGCTCGATCATTGGTTCTCATCAGCATTGCCCTCAATGAGCTCAACCTGAAGTCCGCGGCATGGAACTGGCTCGGGAACGCAGTCAAGGTGGCCCAGGACATTGGCTTACACTCGGATATGGGTTCGTGGCCGTTGATTGAGAAAGAAATGCGGAAGCGTACCTGGTGGTCCATCTACATTCTGGACCGCAGTCTAAGCCTCGAGCTTGGGCGACCCATGTTGATCGACGATGTCGACTGCGACGTGCCACTCCCGATGGGCGTAGACGACCACTTCATACGCGACAACGGAATGGTTGTTCCCAACGGCGCCGAACCCCTTACTCACTCGCTGCTCGCCATCACACACGTTGTGCGATCATACACTGCCCTCGGCCGACTGCTTTCTTCGTCCGGAAATGAAGGACCGATGCTTCACAACCGAAACGAGTTTATGAGTCCAGCAATCCCGCCTGCCTGGCTCGCGACCTTCGATCAATATTTCGCGTCATGCCTACGTACCTTCCCTCCGGCCTGCGACCCTTCTTCTGGCTCCCCACTCGCCCCAGTACTGCTCAACCCGCTGATCTACCTCCTACATGCGCGACTCCTGCTTCATCGCCAGAACCTCTCTCCGCAATGCCCACCCGAAGCCCGCCTCCTGGCTGTGGAGCAGTGCACAAACATCGCATTAGAGACGGCTGCTTACCTGAAGCGCATGACACCTACCCTTCCCGAGGGAGCCACAGCGCTCACGACCATGCACATCTTCCGGTGTGCCTTGTTCCTCCTGCTCATCGGCCACTTGGACCAAGCTCTCGTGTGCATACGGGAGCTGGCAACGATCAACACGAACAGGGAGGTTGCCGTTCCCTGTGGACGTTACCTCTTGTTCTTCGTCGGCGTTGTGGGACAAAAGAGGAGCGAGTATCTCCAGAGGATCATGATGACTGGGAGCCCAGAACCGGCGCCAGTGAGGTTGAGAAATGCTCTGGTGAGGGATGAGGAGCTGATTGCATATGTGAGCGCGGATTTGCAGGCGCGGCCCGATACGGCGTGGATCTGGGCTGGCGGAGAGCAGGACCATGCGGCTGCTGCAGCTGCGGCGGCGGCGGCTGGACGTGCAGTAGGGAGCACCAGCGGCTCAAGCCCCGGAGGAGCAAACGGATTGGGAACTCTTTTCAGCGAGGAAGCCAAGATGGGATTGTCGAAGGAGGAAATTAACGAGTGGAACGTCAACAAGGGCTGGACGAGACTGGACGAAATGGTGCGCGGATTGGCCCATCCGCTTGCGGTACCGTTAGCACAGGCACCGATGGTGCCATCGACTTCAAGCCAAACACCGACTTCAGCGACCAGACCTACGCATTCGTTGGCCTCGACGCCTACATTGGCTACCGCTCCCCATCCCTCATACGCACAAGGTCCGCCTCCACCAGTAACGGTCCCCGGACCCCCTCCTCCTCCTCCCTTGCACTATAGCCATCATGCACCACCACCACCACCACCACCACCACCCCGGGGACGCCAAATGCCACCGATTCAACCCGGACCCGGCCCGCAACAACCGCCCCCGCCAGCAAGTTGGGGCCATCCCCCGAGCGGCCCGACCCTTCCTCCCCCGCAACAGTCCCGATCTCCATATATCCCCCAGCATGTTCACCACCCCCAGGGTCCTCCACCGCCAGCACAACCCCCAACGCTCCCTAGCATCTCACCAGCCGGTACTCCCCGTATTAAGAGCGAACCCGGACTACCATCCCTACCACCCCTTGGAGCCCTTGGAGGAGACAGAGATGACAAGCGACCTATCGGCTTGGGGATTGGACCAGCCAGTGCCATTAGCCCCTCCAACAGGGCAGCGGTGCTTCAGAGCAGCGGAGGCGGTGGACATGGAGCGGGTAGTCCAACGATGAGTGCCAGCCGCAGCCCAACTAGTGCGACGACGCCGACGACGATGATGCCGAACGGAACCTCGAACCCGAACGGTGGGAAGGAGAATGCGAACGGAAATGGAGCGGCGGGCTCGAAACCGCCGACGGTAAAGAGTCAGAGTCAGGAGAGGATCAGCATTGCCAATATTATTTAGGGTAATAATGTGAGGAGATGGGGTTATTTATGAGCGGGTACGAGGAAGAGGTGGTGCATTGCAGCGCATGGCATTGCATAGCATCGCATTGCGTTTGCAAAAGTTGCGGGCAGGCAGGGTTCTTGCATCGGCGGGAACAGCCTCACTTTCTTTGTTCTGTTTCTCTTCCGGCACCTTTCTGGTTAGTTTACGGCGGCGGCGGCGGATCAGGATTGGAAAAATACTAGACATTTTTTTTGGAAAGCGAGGAAAGCAGGAATACACAAACGCACAAGCGACATCAAAGGCTGAGAGGCACGCGAAAGATATATGAAAATTCGCTGATGCCAACAGAAGCACAAAGGGCTTCAATCGACTAGGGTTTTCACAATGCATGGTAAAGGGCACGGGAATACCTTTTTGGACAGGAAGGTCGGTGGTTTGGATAAGGCGGGCGGATGTCTTGACGGGATGTACGGATTGGATTAAACGGCTACCTACTACATCTGGACCACCACGAACGACTCGTGGGTTTGCCCTTCAGCCGGCAAAGCGATACCAGTTTCTTGTTACTGTTGATGATTTTGGTTACACTTCTTTTTTCGACTTCTTTTTTCCTTTTTTATCATATTTTATCTTCGTCTTCCGCTTTTTGGGTTGCGTCACTTGGTGTACGCTTATAAATCATGAATGAGTGATGGACGGTGTGGGCATGAATGATTTTTACTATGTTTGTTGAGATACTGGGGATGAGAGAAGAAGAGTGAAGGCGAGGCTGGAAGAGGCTGGGGAAGCCTCTCTCTCGCCTTAGAGTTGCGTTGGAACGCGCAATTTTTGAAGAATCAAACAAGGCAGCTGAAGCTGTGCTTATGATGCTGAGATATTCTGTCCCAACTGCTGCTCTTCACGTTTGTGAACTTTTTTCGCCTGTGTTTTTTGTCTTTTGCCAGTCGCTTTTGCTTCCTTAAATTCATCCAACAAGCCGATCGTTACCACATATGCCAGCCAGTTCCTACCATTTCCTCACACAACAATCAAACAATCGGACAAACTTACTACAACCGGACAACGAAACAGAGGCTCAACCATCCTGAGACAGTAATTCATCAAACAGGTCAGATCTGGTAGCATGTTGCACGGATGTGCCACCCACCCAGTTATTTACCGGTACTATGATACTGGCACAGACGGCGCAAGATTTTTGGTGTGGTAACACGAACAAAGAAGCGGGGACTCAAAAGGATCTCGGAAAGAAGCATCCATGAACCATCCATTTCCGTCCGTTAGCCCCCCTTCCATACGCTATGTCCGTATCGTATTTCTTCTTCTGGATGCCCGTTTGGTGTTACATGACAAGTGACAAGTGGAAGAGTTCAAATTGGGACGGTATCCGAGACCGGGTTTGAGACCCGAACCATAAGATACCTCTACTGTTGCCCCCCTTTTTCGGCTCGGGAAGGTTTCCGGTGTGTGTGTGCGGAGAGTGCAACGGAGGAAAGAAATTCAGAGAAAGGGAAAAAAAAAAAAAAAAAAAAAAAGTATCGAAGGAAAGGGAGGAAAGCCGCGGACAAGAAGAAGATGGAAACACCACGCTGTCGCACCAAGAAAGTTCGGTGACCCGTTTTGGACCAATAGGAACAAGCGCCGAGGACGACCTTTTACCCCTTTTTCTTGGGATTCGTGGAAGTAAACAAAGACCAGCAGAGGCTTCCATCGTTTTGATTGCATCCCCAAAACTCGCACTCTTCCGGGCAGTTTGATGATGTTTGACGTCTTGACATTCAGGGCACGGAAGGTAGGAAAACATGCTCGTATCATTACCGAATCCGTTTCGAACGAACTGGCGGGATGTGTGCATTGACAACGGACTCGATGAACCGGATCGGACGAACCGTCACAATACCGTTCTGTTCGGTGGAGTGAGTGTCCGATCCCGATTCCCGTCCCGACGGCGACTCCAACTGTTCAATGCCGTCCGTCCGAGCGACGACCCAGACTCTTCCATTTAGAACCTAACGATGTATCGGAACGAGGTGCGAAACCACTTTTCTAACTGCAATTATCCTATCGCCATTCGCTTGATTCCGTTGCCGGTTTTTACACTACAGTATCATCATTCCGTGTCAGCGAACGGTTCGTTAAAAAAATTGTTGCAAAGGATTCCCGTCGCTTCGGTAAGCATGCGTGCGGCGTGCGATCCGAGTGGTTGTTGTCGAGCCAGCCGTTCGTTGTTCCGAACGAGCGAAGCACAGGATGAAGCGAAGGATTGTTGGTGCAGCTGAATGTTTGGAAGGGGGATTCAAAATTCGTACCTTAACAAAGCGAGCGAACAAAACCTCAACAACCAACCCATGACACACACCAGCGAACAACAAAAATGATGACAAGAAAAAAAATCCATTGTCATGAATTGATAAAATAAACAAAAATGATGGCGATGCATGCACAACTAAAATCATCCATGTCGGAACCACCAATTCTGACCTCCGCCGCCTTGGCAATCACGACACGACGGCACGGCACGGCAACACGGCAGGTTCCGGCAATTGCATAAGGTGGGCGGTGCGTGCTCGTGCTGTGGAATGTGCCGAACCGAATTCCGAGACCGGCAACCGCTTCCGACGGAACACGGCACGGTTTCGTGCGTTCATGGCTTTTCGGGCACTCGTACCGGAGGCCTTCCGAGACTTTGCGTCTTGGCGGCGGTGCGCGCACACCGTGCGCATACGCCGAGTGGTCGGTCGCACGCGGCGGGCATGTCAGGGCAGGGGGGGTATGGCTTTTTGTTTTAGCTTTTTTTACCGGCCGTGAATTGGATTTGGTGGAAGGATTTATTGGCCAATTAGATGTGGTAGGTGCAGTGGTGGTTGTGTAACGGTGGAGGGTATTGGGCGGTGAAAGTTACGCGGTGGTGGGGTAATGGTAATACGCAGACGTTTGTTTCTTACGCGGAACGATGGAAGTGAGTGCAGTGACGAAAACCCCACTCGATCTCTTCACTTCCGTCTCTCACAGAGAAGTTAACATCCACGAAATGATCATCACCAACACCCTCTGGCTCACCATCCTCTCCTTCGCTGCCATACCAATCACGGCACAAAATAAGCAGAAACCACTTTTCACATCCAACCACAACAAAATGGAGGACTTCAACCCTTCTACGAGTGGTGGATGGAAACCCGTCCTCGACCCCACCAACAACAGCACCATCATCGGCCACCACTGGCGCTCCCATGACTACGTCGCCGGTGAGGAGTACACTCTCGCCCTCCAAACCCTCGACCTCTGGACTCCCGTCTCCCCGTCTTCCTTACTTTTCGGAGGTAGAGCAGGAGCACCCTGGCTAATCTACATCCACGGCGGCGCCTGGCGCGACCCCGCCATCGACTCATCCTCTTTCAACGCAAGCGCCACCAAGATCCTCTCATCCCTCTCTCAACAGCCCCCTGAGCAAAGAAAGAAGAAACTAGCAGGAATAGCTTCCATCAACTACCGCCTCTCCCCCTATCCTAACCACCCTACCAACCCTTCCGACGACCCAACGGACCCCAACCGCAACGCCAAGCACCCTGCTCACATCGCCGATGTGCTTACCGCGCTGGGATTCCTCAAACGCTACTTTGGAATGGAGAGTTACGTGCTGGCGGGCCATAGCTGTGGTGCGACGCTGGCGCTGCAGGCTTGTATGTCTCCTAAGCGGTGGGGGCTGGATAGGGATAGGTCTGTAGAGTGGAGAGCGGGATGGTATGATGTAGCGAAGCCGAAGACGGTGGTGGGGTTCAACGGGTTGTATGATCTCGCGGGTTTCATTGAGAGCCCCCCGAAAGGGTATGAGAGGTGGAGGGAGGCTTATAGGGAGTTCGTTGTGGGCGCGTTTGGGGAGAAGGAGGAAGATTGGAAAAAGGCGTGTCCGGGGAGTATCGCGGAGGGGTGGGTGGGGGAGTGGAATCTGACTCAACAAGGGGAAGAAGGGAAGAAGAGGAAGGTGGTGTTGGTGCAGAGTTTGGAGGATAGTTTGGTGCCGGTTGAGCAGACGGAGGGGATGGCGGGGTATTTTGAGAGGGAGAATGAGAAGGTGGGAGAGGAAAGTGGAAAGGTTGAGGTGGTGGTGTTGAGGGAGGAGAAGGCCGGGGATCATGATGAGGTTTGGCAGAGGGGGGAGAGGTTGGGGGAGATTTTGGTGGGGGTTTTGGAGGGGGAGATTTGAAGATATGTTGTGACAAGACTTTTGCGAGGTTGTGTTTGGCAATCGGTTGGCATCGGACAGTGTGGTCGTGTTTGTTCGGTTTGGAGCAAGAATTTCTTCTCTCGGACATTCAGTGAAGATGGTTCAGGTACCAAAGCAATTGCACGCGGGTGCAGAGAAAACTGCTTGTCTGGGCATCTAAAAAGCAATAGCTGGAAAGCCTCTTGATCCGTACTACATCAGCCTGAAAAGACTATGAACCAGTTCTTCAGAGTCTTTTTCAAGTCTGACGAGTATAGTCCGTGTAACAGCGACTAGTGCAATGAGCTGAGCGTGGACGAATAATCTTGAGACATTGTGGTTGCACGGGGAGTTGAAGAGACTTTTGGGCCACCAAATCATGTCAGTACAGACCTGACAGCCGCTGTGCTATGCTGACAAGGACATATAGCATCTTTCTAGAATCCGTCTTTCGTGCTCGCATTGAGGCTCGTAGGTTCCGTTACATACAATCCGACCACAGCCCCTGAAACTCGTCTGCCTCTTAGGGCTGAAACTGGGCTTGGCTTTACTCGTGGCTCCCACGTGGCGCTGTACAAGGGATTATTTCTGGAAGCATTCATGTTTTGACATCGGACCGTCATTCCTTTTGTTCGCCCCTGAAAGCATCCCATATCTCAGCGCTGTTCACCTTGTATTATGGCTTGTAATGTAGCTTGGCTGTTACCGGTGAGCGAAATGGGAAGCTCGGGGTGGAAGACGGCGAAAACGGTCTCAACCCCCTTCATACCTAACACTGGTAAGCTGGCGTGGCTGATACCTATACCGATATTACTGCCTGACCAAGACAGCAGATGCCGCTGAATAACAATTTGGGTCAGGAGAGGAAATGCGAAGATCTTGTCGAAATGTTGTGTGATGATCGAACCATCAGGCGGACCCAGCCGGTCGAGGGGAATGAGGGGTCGACTCCAATTGGCAATTGTCGTTGGAAGAGCTTCCCTCACGGCAGTGGTGATGTCATGAGATGCGGGGTAGCTGTTTCACTCGTTTGTCCTCGGTCCATTCAACCCATCTGAATCAACAAAACGACCGTGATAAAAGAGGAAACTTGGCAATTGCCTCTATCCAACCATTGTCCAACTCACCTTTTGACCTTTGAATTATCAAATAAAGTGACTGTTGGCCTGTTAAATCCCCAATCGGCAGGGCCAGAAGCAAGCAACAGGCAAATGCGGGTAAAGTGGAGCTTGTTGGACGTTCCACAACGTCCACCCGCAGCGTCCGATTGGTCACCCCCCGCACTACCACTTACACGGGAAGCTCTTTCCAGCTTTGTTACTCTTCAGAATTCGTCAACCATGGCACCCTCAAAGGGATGAGCTCCGCTGCGTCACCGATTCAGCAAACAGCCAAACAGATGCCAAGGATCATGACACTACATTTGTACCTTCCCGTTCCTGTTGAATGAGTGCATATATTTAACTTGGGCAACCCCTCATTCCCCTCCCTCGCCCAGTCTGACCATCTCCAATTCCAACAATTGTCTGCTTTCAAGTTGGCTTTTTGTCTCCCGTCCTGTCTATCCCAGTCGCATCGCAAAAGCTTTGTGTCGTGTCTTCCGGTCGCCCTGTTTCAGCTTCAATCTCCGCTGTCTCGTAAGTGGTTCGTCAGCTCAGGGGACTCTTCAATCAGGAGACTGTCATCGAGAAGCTCTCCACGTCAGCTCGTCTTCATAGTACTGACAATTCTTTCCGCTACATCCAGCATCCAGACACCACAATACGATCACATTCGCACGTATCCATCTTTGCGGAACACCTCCAAAATGGTGCATCTTACTATCATCCCCAAGGAGGACGAGATCAGAGACGGTCTCGACCTCCCACTGACGAGCGCACTCAAGATGGTCCATCTTCAGCTCGCCAACGATGAGGACCGTTTTACTACGAGCGTGTACGGCTCAAAGTTCGCCGCCGCAGACCTACCCCGCCATGAAATGCCCGATGACGAGATGCCCAAGGAAGTCGCTTACCGCATGATCAAGGACGAGCTGAGCCTGGATGGCAACCCCCTGCTCAAGTATGTCACAGTCTCATTCTTTCAATGTCCATTTGCTGACCAAACCACAACAGCCTCGCCTCGTTTGTCACCACATACATGGAAGAAGAAGCTGAAAAGCTCATGACCGAGTCCCTCCCCAAGAACTTCATCGATTACGAGGAATACCCCCAGTCGGCCGACATTCAGAACCGCTGCGTCTCCATGATTGGCCGCCTCTTCAATGCTCCCGTCAAAGACTCGGAAGCTTCCAGCGCCGTCGGAACATCGACCGTTGGCTCCTCCGAGGCCATCATGCTCGCTGTCCTTGCCATGAAGAGGCGTTGGAAGAACAAGCGCATCGCCGAGGGTAAGCCCGCTGACAACCCCAACCTGATCATGTCATCCGCCGTCCAAGTCTGCTGGGAAAAGGCCACTCGCTACTTCGAGGTGGAAGAGAAGCTGGTCTATTGCACGCCCGAGCGCTACGTCATCGATCCTAAGGAGACGGTAGACCTGGTGGACGAGAACACCATCGGTATCTGCTGCATCCTTGGCACAACATACACTGGCGAGTACGAGGATGTCAAGGCAGTTAACGACCTTCTCGTGAAGAAGGGGCTGAACACTCCAATCCATGTGGACGCAGCCAGCGGAGGTTTCGTTACCCCCTTCGTCGTGCCCGATTTGGAATGGGACTTTAGGCTGGAGAACGTTGTGTCCATCAACGTCTCTGGCCACAAGTACGGCCTCGTCTACCCCGGTGTCGGTTGGGTCGTCTGGCGTTCTGCCGAGTACCTCCCCCAGGAGCTGGTTTTCAACATCAACTACCTCGGTGCGGATCAAGCCTCCTTCACCCTAAACTTCTCCAAGGGTGCTAGCCAGGTCATTGGCCAGTACTATCAGCTCATCCGTCTCGGCAAGCACGGCTACCGCGCTATCATGTCTAACCTGACGCGCACAGCTGATTACCTCGCCGAGTCGCTTGCCGCTCTTGGCTTCATCATCATGTCCAAGAAGTCTGGTGAAGGCTTGCCTTTGGTCGCATTCCGTCTCAGGGAGGACCCAGACCGCAACTATGATGAGTTTGCTCTTGCTCATCAGCTCCGTGTGCGCGGATGGATCATCCCCGCATACACCATGGCGCCCAAAACGGAAGGGCTGAAGATGCTCAGGATTGTTGTCAGAGAAGACTTCTCTAGGAACAGGTGTGATGGACTTATCAATGATATCAGGTTGTGCCAAGGTTTACTTGACCAGATGGACAAGGAAACTATCAAGAAGCAGCAGGAGTTCATCCACAAGAATCATGTGGCGAGCGGAAAGGCGTCGCACAACCATCCCAAGTATCGCGTAAGTGCCACAACAAGGCCCTGTGCCGTTTTCTCTGCTTTGATCGATAACCCCTTAAAGAGAGACATGCTGACCATGGCTATAGAAGGAGAAACACTCGTTGCAGGGCAAGACAGGGAAGACGCACTCTATCTGCTGAGTCTTCTCCGTCGAGGTCTGATTCTGGGTCTGACGCTGGGTCAGAGTATGACTCGGAGTATGGCTCTGACATTGACGATTACTATAAGGAGGACCACAAGGAGCATGACCTTGAACGGGAGGAGTGTCCATTGTGCGGAAGTACGTCTGACATTGAAAGAAAGGCAGAAGAAGAAGGGATAGGGGATTCGGATTCCGCCACCGACGATGGGACACTCGTTCATGGGGAGAGGCACAGTCAACTAGATGACCGATCTACTAGCTCGCCAGTTGCCTCCATGGTTGCAAAGACAGCCTATAACCACTTGACCTTGTCAAGGCACTGTGGTCGGAAGGCAGCCGTTCGCGGGAAGAAGCAACATCAGGGTAAGGGCGCGGGTCAGACGTTCAGCCTTGAGCTTCCTGGTGGGAAGAAGTTGCTTACCCCCCGCATCGGGGCTTAGTGGGCGTTGATATGAGAGACAAGCTGAGGATTCTCTTTAATTCGTGTATTTGATCTCAGATTTCCCCAGCCTTTTATTGGCAAGGAAAATTAGCACTATGGTCAGGAGTAGACCAACAATGAGCACTTTGTCACCAACTCTCAAAACCTGTGTGAACTTGCTTGATTTAACTCTAAATACCATACCCAAAACCTATCCAAACCAATGCATGCAAAACGACAACTATACAAGAAATATGCAACCGAAAGAAATCGAACTATGTACAAAGACCCTCATTCATAGACATGAGTATATCCAATCGGCCTGTTTCCGACCACTTCCCCCTTCCATCTCCGGGTATCATCCCCCATCATTTATATTGCCGTAGCTTACTGCTTAGTAAAAGCACCAAAGTACTTCTCCAACGCCTCCACCGTCTTGCCCCCCTCCTCAAGCTTGCAGACAAAGCCCACATATCCATCCGGCCTCACAACAACCACGCCACCCTTCTCCTCATCAAAGCCCATCTTCGCATGCGCCGCCGCCTTGGCGTCGGGAACCCTGCGATCCCACCGATCGTCCGCATACACATTATCCCTGTACCGAGCCAACAACTCGGGCAAGTCGCGCGAGATCTCGACCTCGGTGCGCTTGGCAGCGAAGACGGTCGCCAGAGTGAAGAATTTCGAGTGAGGGTTGTGGCGCTCGTGGTGGCTGACGCAGTCGATGTCGGACCGCTTGAAGCGGGAGAAGAAACTGTTGGGGGAGGAGAGGCCGGTGGCGAGACTCTCGAGGGCGGATTTTTGCGCGGGGGATTTGGTAAGAGAGCCGGCGAAGATGAAGAGGCGGAAGGAACCGTTGAGCGGGATCTCTTGCTCGAGGTGCACGACGTTGGCGTCGACGACGCGGGTGACGGTCGAGTTGATGAAGAGGCGGCCGGGGACTAGTTTGGTGGTTTGTTGCTCGGGGGACAAGATGGTGGAGGGGGAGGAGACGGTGGTGGCGGCTGGGTGGGAGGGGGAAAAGTTGAGAGCGTTGGGCTTGTAGAAGACGCCGTAGCCCGAGGTGAACTCGCACGCTTCCTTGAAGGTCTTGATGAACTCGTTTTCTTCGGCGGACTGCTGAGCGTCGGGGTTGACACCGTGGGAGACGGTGACGGTGGCGGTGGCGGTGGCGGTGGCCTGGGCGGTCGAGGCGGCGTCGGGCCGCTGGGAGAAGAGCTTGGCGTATTTGTTGTCGAAGGCGAGCAAGGTCTCGGCGACGTCCTTGCGCTCGGGCTCGTAGGTCTCGAGAATGTGGCGGGCGGCGAAGCCGCCTTCGACGGCGTGGATCTTCCAGGCGAGGTTCAAAGCGTCGAGGAAGGCCGTGTTCATGCCTTGGCCGGCCTTGGGCGAGTGCGTGTGGCACGCGTCGCCGCCGAGGAAGACGCGGTGGTCGAGCGTGTACTTGTCGGAAATGCCCTGGCCGATCGGGTAGACACTGTACCACTCGACGCGCTCCCACTCGATGGAATAGGGCGCGAGGATGCGCTTGGCGGCGGCCTGGACTTCCTCCTCGGTGGCGGTCTTGCGCGGGTGGAAGTCGGGGTCCGTGGAAGAGGCGATCTGGATGTACAGGCGCACCATGTTGGCCTCGCGCGGGATCACCATGATGGACCCGTGCTCCGAGTGGATGGTGCACTTCATCTTCATGTCGGGGAAGTCGGTCTTGACGACGCCGTCCATGACGCCCCACACGTACGAGATGGGGTCCTTGTGCGTGATGCCGATCTTGAGCTGGTCGCGGATGAAGGAGCGCGCGCCCTCGCCGCCGAAGAGGTACTTGGCCTTGACGGTTTCCGTCTTGCTGCTGTCGTCCACGTGCGCGAGCTGGACGGTTACGGGGTACTCGGGGTCGGCCTTCTCGTCCGAGGTGAAACCGGTGATGGTCCAGGGACGCTGGATCTCGGTGCCGTTCTTCTCGAGGTCGGCGATGAACACGCGCTCGATCAGACCCTGGTGCAGAAGGGTGGTGAAGGGGTAGCGGGCGTCGATAAAGTCGGGGCAGCTGGGCCAGGTGCCGGTGCGGACGATGCCGCCGCCGGTCTTGGGGGGATCCCAGAAGGCGACCTCGTAGACGCGGGCGGGCTTGTGGGCCATGATGGCGGACTTGAGACCCATGTTCCGCAGAAGATCAAGGGATCGGGGCTGGATACCATCGGCACGACCGGTGGCGGTGGGCTCGGGCCTGTTGTCGATGTGCTTGATCTTGTAACCCCATCGTGAAAGACAGGTGGAAAGCATGAGGCCTACGGGGCCGGCACCGACAATGACTGTGAGGTGTGTTAGTGATGTGAGCGGACATTTGAGTGAGAGTGGATTTCACTTACCAATGTCATAGTAGTTGTCTGGTTGTGTCGCCATGGTATATGACTGTGTGTGTGAGTGCAGTTGCTGGAAACAAGGAATCAAAGCAGAGACAGAAGAGCAATGAAGGGGGGTATCTCAAACAGGCGATGGATGGATGGGAATGATAATGAATGGTCAATCAACAGAGACAAAGAAGAAGCGGGAGGAATCATGAGTTAATAATCATATTTCATTTATCACAACAGGGTAGCACGCCGCCGTCTCACAACACATCCTAAACACCGAAACCCGGGATGGATTCCGAGGATTGGGGAACACCAAGATCGGGGCAAGTGACCCACGGAAGCGAAAGTGGCATCTCTAGTGTCGAGATGAACCGGTTCACCGCGATGGGCTTTGCCCAGGCGGGCGGGTGAGGGATCTCCAAGAAGTCGGCAAGCGGACCCGGTATTGGTGAGATTTGACAGCTCCTGTCCAGACACATTCAGCAGTGAAGCACGGTAGAAAGGGGACACACAACTGCGTCAGAGGAGTGTGAGGTGTGGTGGCACCCAGAGGGCTGAATAACGCTGTGCTCCTTGAAAGAGAGCGAAAGGCTCGTGATTGGCCAGATCGCTTCGTTCGGATCCGTCCATTGTCTTGGGGCTCTGTGCTACGTCGTGGTTCGTCGGAAGGATTGTGGGAAGGAAGACGAGGAGGGGAAGATCGGGAATGGAACACGGTAGTCGTCGGTGGGGCCGCGGGCGGTAGTGGGATACAAGTGGATGTTCACAGGCGCGGTAGTGTAGTCTGCCACGGGGTCCCTAACGGGTGCGGCGTCGGGACAGGGAAAAATAAACATTGTCCCCCAGGATTCCCCACAGCAACCACAGCAACCACGACTGCTGCCCCGAAGCCCACACCGATGATCTGACCCGAGATTTTGGTCCGGTTTTTTTGGTGTTTTCTCTTTTTCCAGGCCTGTGTTTTGCCAGCTAGATTAGTTTGTTGCCCCGGGTTTCCTTGTCCGTCACGGATGACAACAAAGCCGCATCCTTTGCCGTTGCCAATTCGCAAAGGGGAGAAGCCTTTGATATCGAATTCCTTGCGGATGATTGAGCTGTCACGGCCCTCAAAGACTTTGGCGCCAAGGGCCTTGATGATCATTAACAGCGGCCCCCCGCTCGCCGCCATCGCTCCCGTTCATGTTCCCCGCGATTTGCCCCTGGCATTCCAATTCTGCTGACAAAGATCAAGAAAGCATCAATTGATCGAACAAAGAAGACATGGCATCGATGATACAACACCGGTCTTCACAGCGTCGCTGACAATGTGTTGTTTACGGGACTTATAGGATCCATCTCGCTGTGGACCTCGTGGAGTCGCGATCCCACTGCGGGCGGCCAACTCCATTTATCCATTCTTTACCCCATGGGAGGCGGGACCGACTCGCCTAGCTCCACGATAACGGGGCCTCTTCTTCAACCGCAATTGACCATTTCGGAGACGACTCGGCGTTGTCTCTGTACAACCTCTCGTCGTGTTTTTCAACGCGATAGGATGAAGTTCTCAGCATCACCACAATGTGAAGCTGGCTGCCGGAACAGTACCAGTGATCATATCGTCCGCGGCTTCTTAATGTTGGGAACTCGTCACCCACCCAAGGTTTCGGTTGGTGTATGTTTAATGTGGATTTCGCAGGCCACTTCTACTTCTTCTTCTTTTGAACCTGACAACCCAGAGGCATCCATCAATCTTCTACCCATTGTTTTCTCATCGTGACAGCCTTCCCCGACAACTGATGATGACCAGACGTCAACAAGTCAGACACCAGCCGTCGCAGCCGCAGCCGCAAGTGTTACACGATCTGTTGTTGTCGTCGAAACAACACATCTTGGTTACCTAACGAGGTCTGACGGAGATTTCTCATCCGCCCGATTGGTTATCACGAGAGACAACATGTCTCGTTCGTCGGAAGCCTGTGGCGCTCAGGGGCGAGCAGGGATGCGAAGACAAGATGCACTGGGGGAAGTAAACATATTTCCGTTTTTGGCAGCATTGATGGTGTTAGTACACGTCAAGCTCCGCATCGCTTCCCACTTGTCCGTCGTCTTTCCTTTACTCTATTGTCACCGGTTATTGATCGTTGGTCAGACGCACTGCAAACACGCAATTGAACCTTGAGAAGCCATACAGGTTTTTGATTTGTCGGAGCCCCGTCTCCTCCGCGCATCCCGACCAATGCCCAACCTTGCTAGGCAGCAATATGTGACACAGTCGGGCCATCCTACCTCTACTTTGCAAAGCTAACGTTCTCCACAACGTAAACTCTCGATAACAAACTCTCCTCGAAGTTCATCCTTACTGTTCACGTTCGGGCCATCCATGATGGGGTCCCGAATCGAACCGCGACAGCTGAACAAGCTTTGTCATCAATGCCAGCAAATCTTTCCTGTGACAGGGCCTTGGGCTTGGGACCGAGCAGAGCCTGACGAGGTTTTTACGGGCGGGAAAGGATGGCACTTGCGCGACTTCACTATCGATGAACTTGGCGAATCTGCAACTACCGAAGGCTGTCACCTGTGCCGCATATTCCTCAACTCGTTGATTCCGGGATCAATCATTCTCAGGAACTATCATGGCTACTCATCTTGGCATGAAGACGTCAAAACCCTTATGTTTTATCTCAGATTGATCACCACCGATGCCGACCCTGACAGCTACCACTTTTCTCTGCATCACCATGGGATACCCATTCGTACATTCTCGTCGGTTGACTTGAAACCTGTTACTCCAAACGAAAGATGCACCCTTCCAACCATCTTGGGCAATACATTCCAATTGTCTCCCACAGGGCGACAACAAAAGCGTTTCTCCGGTGACAATCTTCCAACCTTCATCAACGACAAACTTTGATCCGCTTGCTCTTGACCAGATCAGGAGCTGGATTGACAACTGCACCCAAAATCATAAAGCATGCAGAGGAGCATCATTGGTTCAGAAAAGTATGGCCGAGTTCCAGGAAAAGGTGCGCTTTATTGATATCGGACTCGACGACACGGCTACGATCCGCTTGGTTGAGGGAATCAAGGACACAGATGTAAAATACATTACCCTCAGCTACCGGTGGACCGCGGAAACACCAAATACCAATCTGAAAACCGGCATCAAGGACAAATACCATAAATCGATCTCTACGGAGAACTGGCCTCAAATATACAACGATGTCGTTGCTTTATCTCGCGCCCTCGGTATACGTTATGTATGGATCGATTCGCTTTGCATCATCCAGGATGACGGAAAAGACTGGAACATTCAAGCTTCGTTGATGCATCGCATTTATGCCCACGGCTACCTCAACCTAGCTAATGCATGTGCCGAATTCTCACCAGGCCTTGAGGTCACCCGGGACCCACTCTCCGTCTCGCCCTGTGTCATTTCCCGTACTCGTACAGATGGCTCGAGGGAATACTGGGCTTGTTTTAGGAACTTCAATCCGACTGAAGCTCTCTCATTTGCTCCACTCTACTCGAGAGGATGGTGCTATCAGGAGAGGTTTTTAGCTACGCGCACTATTCAGTTTAGCCAGCAGCTCTACTGGGAGTGCAAAGCCGGGCACGCTTCTGAATCGTTCACAGGAGAGAAGGGATTGGCTTGGTCCAGGGATTCCGCGAGCCAACACCCAGATATACTCACATCTGTGGATCAAGCCAGCGACAGACGTCTTTCCAGTGCCCTGGGTGCGAGCGTGGTATGGCAGAGAATCGTCAGTGACTATAGCGAGACCGAGCTCACGCATTATTCGGATAGGCTGGCCGCTTTGAGAGGTATTTTCAACAGATTCTGGGAAAAATTCGATGGATCACAGGAGCGCGACTGGTGTGTAGCGGGGCTGTGGAAGAAACATCTGACACGGCAGCTGATATGGGGCCGTGTTTCGCGTCGTTATGGTCACTATAACGAGTTTGAAAAGATCCGGGATACCGCATACTACATATCACTCGAAAATCAACTCGATGGCTTCCCATCGTGGTCTTGGGCTTCATGTCCAACCTCCCCGGACTCATCCTTCATCACTTGGCCGGGTTATACAGGAGAAGGACACTATGAATCTCTGGTGGAGATTGAGACCATCATTCCACTCAACTACCAAGCCCTCGACCTTGGCTATCCTGGCTTCGAGTCCGCCACAATGATCTTGCGCACCCCGTTCGACTTCCTCGGTTTTGACGCGGAACAACTTCTCTCAAAATGGGAGTCCTGGTATTCTTCGTGCAACGTTGACGCCCGAGAGCCTAACGGTGACAAGTGCCGATTTCAAGTATCGATAGACCTCGACCGGCCAATACTAGGGGTTGTCAAGAAAGAAGATCTGCGGCTGCTCCCTATCATCATGGAATACCAAGCTGGAGGGTGGGATACCGTACGCATCCAGGGTATTCTCCTAGAGACTTTGGGTGTAGAGGAAGGCTTACCAACATTTCGCCGGATGGGCAAGTGGTCGCATATCTACTGTGCGCGCACACACCCAAGCCCAATTCCGGGATTACTGGGATACTTTGACAACGAGGAGCGTCTCGGGATTGAACTAGGAGAGTTCAGAAAGCGGCGTGAATCACTTCCATTCCACAGGTATAAGTTGGTATAGGTCATGTAGATTCACATATGAGTGCGCCGCCCCTTGGAAATGGGAGTGCTCTGCGCACATCAACGGTAGAGTAGGTATTTTCTACCGCTCGCGGAAATAAACAAGCCATCCCTCAACTGCAATTCTGTCCATATGAGCCGTCTCACTGTAGCCATCTGGTGAACTCTGGTAAACTACCTACCTACCTCTACATATACGTAATCTGGGATTGTGGAATTCGGAGGTCGGGGGTGTTGCGCTTGGGCTACCATTATTCATTGCGCCTTCCCTAGAAGGAAGACACATTCCGACTGCCGGCTGCTGGGTTCTTCCGAAGGCGAGTTTGCTTGGCGATGACGGTGCACCATCCACGGGTGATGGCACCAGCCGATCGATGCCTTCTTCATCTCCCAATCTTACAAATTCCACCATTGCTGGATTATGATCTTCGTGTCCTCCATTGACCAGAGCTATCTGTCACCCATTACCAATCAGCCTGATCTTTCAATCCATTACTAGGTATCACCAGTTCAGTTTGGCTGTGTGCACCATGTCCTACGAACCCGGTGGATGAGTCCTTAATCATTTCTACCGGTGACGAGCTCGGCTGAAGGATTCAACATCTGGGACAGCGTCGACTTTGGCGCGACGAGTGCGGCATTTTGATGGCGACAAACTCGGCCAGATGGACTAGGTCAGACAAACTCGGTCAGTCCCAACCTAGGACTCGTGCTGATAGACAGTTTCACTGAACAAGTTCGTCTGATTCTATGTAGTAGATTGATGCTCTTCTTCTCTTGCTCCAGAGAGAGTGTGAGAGAGGACAGACTGACTATCTAATGCCTGATGCTGTGTCTGGCAGCTCCCATCCAGTGTAGCTGCCAAGTATGCACCGGCCCATCGAGGCGCGCAAACATCTCCCTGGGCCCAGAGAGATAGTCACCGCCTTGTCAACCGACCCATTCCAAGCTACATCCATGTGCACCGTTCCCTTGTGCCTTTGACAATCGTCGAAATCGAAACTCTACTCTAGGTAAGTATCCCCAACTTGACAACATCGTGACTTGTTCCACCCAATTTTATGACTGGTAATCTTCTGTCTTTGTTAGAATCCATATTCGATCTGTGAAGGGCAGTGAGGGAAGTACTTACATAGCGAGTCGTGACATGTGCCTTCTCACCGACTACAACAACCCGTCGCCCAAGGACGGCTGTCTGGGCGGTTCCGGTTCCTCTCGAGAGACGGGCCGCGAACGCTCCTCGGCGTTGGCTAAAAAGAAGTTATAGTGGGCTGCAGTGTCCCACCAATCATGGTTAACCAGTTGAGGAACTGGCTCGTCGGCCCAATAGGAGCGGCGGATCCGAGGGGGTTCTATGATGTTATTCCCAAGGTTTGTATCGGGTGGAAAGTACTCCTTGGGGAGCACGGTGAGCATCTTGCCCTTCTCCATACCTGTACCCTCCTCCATACCTGTACCATAGCATCCCCTCCACGGTGCCAGCTGTTCTAATCTCTTATCAACATTGTTTTTAAAGTTTATCCACGACCTCGTTACCTCTCGAACGTGGATCTGGTTTCCAGCATTGAAGCAGACTGTGGCTTCTATGCGCTCAGGGTCACCAGCCGGTTCTAGTTCGCAATCCAGGAATACGTTCGCCACAACTTGCTGAGCATTGTCGCTCACAGATCGTACTAGGGGAAGGTGGCGAGTGCCCAAAGCAGCACTTAGTTCCCCAAAGAGTGGATCGTCGTAAAACTGCCATACTTGCAGGAATGTATCCAAATCGGGACGGAGGAGGCGCCCATAGTTCCCGATCCAGTTGTTGTTGGGAAGACGTTGCGTGTCGAAAGGAATGGTGGCAAATGCAAAGAAGCTTATTATCTCCCCAAGCGCGCCAACGGCATCTGTGTCCAAAGAAGGGAGGCGGATGGCGTCGTTCGTCCGGCAAAATTGGTACCAAAAGCGCCGGAAGAGCATGTCCTGCACAAACAGCCAGTTGCGCAGGAAGCAAGTGTCTTCGCAGACAAAACGATGGAGGGAATTGAGGTGCGGTTCCCCCCTGAACTTTGGTTCGTAGCTCGGAAAATAACGGAAGACTTCGTCGAGCATCATTCTGGGGTCCGAGATGAGGTCGATGATTTCGCCATCGGAGTCGATGATGAAAAAGCCCGCGGGGATTTTGACGATAAAGCGCCTGGTGATGCCGATGTCAGAGTTCTTGGTCGTGGGGTTAATGTTAGAGTCCTCGGTCGTATGATCGATGTCAGAATCCTCGGTCGTAAGATCGATATCAGAATCCTCGGTCGTAAGATCGATATCAGAATCCTCGGTCGTGGGGATGTCAGAGTCCTCGTCAAGGTCCATGCCAGAGTCCTCGAACCTGAGGTCACGGACATGGGCCTCGTCAAGGTCCATGCCAGAGTCCTTGACCATGAGTTCCAGGACAGAGTCCTGGGCCCTCAGTTCCATAACAGAGTCCTCGGTCACGAGTTCCATAGCAGAGCCCTTGACCACGAGTTCCGTGACAGAGCCCTCGACCACGAGTGCCACGACCCCGGTAAGGGTGTTCATTGTGTTCCTGTCCATCTTGTTGATTTGGCCGTAGGTGATCAGTGCCAGCTCTTCGACCAACGTGAGAACAAGAATTGGAGTCGCCGCTTTTGCTCTTCTAGGAGGTGTCTGTACACAAGCAAGATCAGTGATTGTCGGTTGAAAAGTCGAGCAGAAAACAGATGACGAACATACCTTAGGTTCCCTCTCGGACCGTTTTCGCGTCTACCTCGGTTTCCAGCTCCGTCTCCTTCTCCCTCGTTGTTCTGCGAAGTGATACAAGCAGCGTTGGTATTTCGTTTGATCTTGAAGGTTGGTTGTGATCCCGGCTTAATGATGGAGAGTTTAAAGTCCAATTTCGTTGGGGGGGCACCGACTTATTTATACTCTTTCACTGACTTTATTCCACGATGCTTACAGAGATGCCAGCTTTCGTCGAAGCAAGCTGGCAGCAGTCTCACTTGACAAAAAGCAGGAAATCGACCTCTACCGGTAGTGCACGGATCGAGCATCAGCTCAAACTGGGCCATGGAAGGTGTCAAAATTGCCTTGCTTGAACAACAGACGAGTTATCTGTATACCAGAAAACCAAGAAGCAGCTTTCAGTTCCAGGGCACACAAGCTGCCAAATCCATCGGAGGAAGCCAAGTACCAGGGAATTGACGCGTTGCGCTCACATTGTTGGCACGGCAGCATACGTTGCTCCCCAACAGATCCATCCGGATGCTGCATTGAAATGCTGAGGAGCGGGCATATTTGGGGTTTACCTACCGCAAAGACTCGGGCCGTTCGTCTTCAGCTAACAGGGCCTAACTGACAGCTCTACCAATGGCGATTGCAGAGACGCAACTTGGGTGCCTTAGGGTTTGGGTTTTGGAAGAGATTCGCGCAGTCTGCAATGCTTAGCTGAAGACGAGCGGCCCGAGTCTTTGCGGTAGGCAAGTGTGAAGCTACCGACCTATGCGTCTCCGCAATGTCGAAGTGCACAGAGTGGGCGATAACACGAGTACACGAGAATGAACGAAAGTGGTTGACTTAATTTATTAAAGGAAGGAGAAAGAAAGAAGAAAAGGAGAAGGTGGTGATTCCTTCGATATATAGTCCTGCCACAATCAGTTTCCAAGTTCCATGCAATGCGCCAGTTGTGCTTCTCACTGCAGTGACTCACGTTCATTTGGGATCTGCTTTAGGAACTTGGACAGCCTCGTTTGATCATGAGAAACCGGATTCGCTCGTCTCGATGTTCAGTGCTTGCGACAGCAAAGTTACAGGTTGTCAAATGCACGTACATGCTCCTTGAAAGTGGTCAGAAACATTTGACAAACGTTCCCTTAGGGTTTCTGCACGACATCCAAATCTAATCCTACAAATTCGATATCTATCATTCAGCACACACGGTATCAAGGACGTCGAGTAGCAGGTAGTTAACAATCGAGCATCACGGGACCTCTGTGGTGTTGATGACCCAAAAGGGTTGCAAGTAAACAAACCTCGGCTTGACGTTGTGTGACCCTCTTTCTCCACATTCCCCAAACCCCGGAGTCCGGAACTTTCCCCTCTCTTTGTCATGCATTAAGGTTACATCGGGCGGTCTTGGTCAAAGTGCCCCCCATTTTCACATGTCAGACAGTCCACCGTGGACGACGATTGGGCGGCGTTGGGATGAGCATGATCATGACGACAGGCAATCATATGCATCCCGACCCCCGGCACCGACGACGACCCTTGCTAATACATATGTACTGCAAGACAACACACACACACATTCATTCCACTGCCATCCTCGTCGCTGTTCCAACCTCACCTCACCTCACCTCACTTCTTCCTGTTTGATCAATGCCCAACCGGTTTTGCCTTCTTCCTCCTTCTTTTGCTTTCCGATAACCTTACATTGACCAAGACACTTTTGTCATTTACAGACCAACGTGTGTGCTGCTTTTTGCAGAACCATCGCCATCAGACCTGCCTGTTGACAGCATCATCCTGTGTACCCGACACCTGCCAAGCCTGCGCGCGTGCCTTCGAAAGATACCGAACCCTCTGCCTTTGGCGGTCCAACTTGCCACCTGTCTGTCGTCTTGGCTGCCGGACCACGGAATCATCACGGCCCGTCCCAAATCTCATGGACAGGCGATAGAGTCGAGTCGGAAGTGGGTGATTGCCGTTAGGAAGAAAGAAAGGCCTTTGTTTACTGCCCTGCATTCAGCCCTTCCCGGGCACGTTGGCGCCAGGACGCGCAACCTGATACTGGGCCAAACCGGGAGCTTTGTACTCCTCAAACACCCTTCATCATGATAGACCACCTCCTCGGACGACCGTCTGTCAAGTCCCGGAGACTGCAGGTACTCGCCGTCTTGGGTTTCTGGTCCGCTTATCTCCTCAAGTACGTCCCCGTCATCTGAACCTCAAGATAGCTTTGACACCAGACATCATCAGCACCTAGGTAGACTGACACCATCCCCGTGCAGAGGTGACAAACATGGCCCTCCCGGCTTCCGCATCTTCTCCCGCCTTCTCTCCCGGCGTCTGACAACCTGGCAAACCGTCATCTTGACCATGATCTACCTGTACGCGGCCCGCAACTTCAGCACCCTCGTCGGGCTCGCCAGCCCCGAACCCATGGCCAACATGTACGACGCCACCTACTTCCGGGCCACCTGGGTGCTGACCGCGCTGGACGCGGGCTTCTGGACCGCCATGAAGATCAAGCAAAAGTGGTTGCGCGATTTGTCCAGCATCGCCTTTTCCGTCTTCTATCTCGTCGCCGCCGAAAAGGCCGACGAAAAGGTCCGCAAGGTGCGCGGCAACCTCACGATCGAGCACCTCCGCGTCAGCTGGAACAAAGGCGTCACGTCGCCGTATCTCCGCTTCCTGCAGAATCTGGTGCGCCCGCGGTTTACGCGGTGGCCGCCAAGGCAGATCAGGATTCCGAGGCCGGCGACGAGCGATTACAAGGATCCGGTTGCTGCTTGGTTGTACTATGATGGTCCGCTGGCGGATCTGGAGCATCATAATAAGATCATTCTCGATATCCCCGGTGGCGGCTTTGTGGCTATGGATCCGAGGTGTAACGACGATAAGCTGTTCTCGTGGGCTGCTAAAACGGGATTGCCCATTTTGAGTCTGGATTACAAGAAGGCGCCCGAGTTTCCGTATCCGTATGCGTTGAACGAGTGTTACGATGTTTATAGCACCATCATCAAGACCAAGGGGCGGTGCATCGGGTTGTCTGGACGAGAGGTACCCAAGATCGTGGTCACGGGTGATAGTGCGGGAGGCACGCTGGCGACTTCCATGACGCTTATGATTGTTGAGAGCGGTTCGTCGCCAGTTCGCCGCTTCCAGGGTGAGGTCGACCTCAAGGTTCCCGATGGTCTGATCCTCTTCTATCCTGCCTTGGATATGAACATCGGCAGCTGGATGTCGGATGAGCAGATGGCATTGATCAAGGACCGAAGGATGCGCGGAACCAACAAAAGAATCGTCCAGCGCAAGACGTCTCAGTACAACGACTTGGTCGGCACCCCCGCCCCATCGGACGACGAAGACGACGGTCCTTCATCTGGCTCTAACCCCGAGCCCAGCCCGGTCAAGGAGAAGGAACCATCGTCAGCAGCTCGCTCAGCGCCCGAATACGCCCACTCCGGTCCTTCAACCTGGTCCCATGCCGACATTCCTTCCGCTTCCTCTTCCAAGTCCGAAAAGTCCAAAACCACTGCCGAAAAGCAAACCAAACCCAAATCCTCTGCCATCACAAACACACCTACACTCACAGCCCCCCACAATCACCACCCCCAACCCCTGCGCACCCGCCTCGCCATGTCCTCCATGATCTCCTACTTCGCCGACCGCGTGCTCACCCCCGAAATGATGCGCGCAATGATCATCCTCTACGTCGGCCCGCACAACCGACCCGACTTCAGTTCCGACTACTTACTCTGCCCCATTCTCGCGCCCGACATTTTGTTATCCAAATTCCCCAAAACCTATTTCTTGACAGGCGAGCGCGACCCCCTCGTGGACGACACGGTCATCTTCGCCGGCCGCTTGAAGCGAGTAAAAGCGGCCATGGTGGCTTCCGATGGAACGAGGACGCAGTACAGGGAGGAGGACGTCGACGAGGCACTCAGAAAGACAAATGGGAAGTGGGATGAGAAGCAGGCGGCCGAGGTGGCGCTGGTTCCCGGGATTAGTCATGGGTTTTTGCAGTTTCCGGGGGTGTATCCGCCTGCGTGGGGGCTGTTTGGGAAGATTGCGGGGTGGATGGGGGAGGTGTTTGCTGAGGCTGAACGCAAAGAGAGAGAGGAGGAGAGGGTGAGGAGAAAGATGGGTGTTGCTGGGGTGAAGCCGGAGGAGAGGGGTGAGACGGGGTTGGCTTGGAAGGGGGAAAGGGTAGGGCACGGGAAGGGTGTCGGATTCGGAGCAGTCGAGGAACACTCAGCTGAGGAAAGAACGGGTCGACATCATCGCCGTCGCGGGACGGGAGGGACAGAAAGCAGCGCCGACGAAGATAAACCATTGGAGATGGGTAAAGTTCGAACAAGAGGAAGAGCAGCGTTGAAGAATGGTTCTCACGCTGAGGGAATGACCTCCTCAGCAGCTGATATCGAGGGCAGGGTAGACCAAGACGAAATCCATCTCGTCGAGGGAGAAGGAGAAGAGGAAGAAGCCGGGAGTGACACAGCGACCGAGGCGGCGATTGCGGGAATTGCTACGGCGAATACAAAGGTCAAAGCAAAGAAGCCGCCGAGGAGGATGAAGCCGAGGAGAGTCAAGACGGGTGATGAGGATGAGGCGCTGTTGGTCAGGTTGGATAGCTCGGATGATATTTTGGGCAGGAGGATGCAGGGGTTGGCGGGGGGGTTGACGGGGTTGCCGGAGGCGGAGTGAGTGGGCTGGTGAGGAGGTATTTGGATGATGTTTCTCGCCGTTGGTGAGGCAAGTACAGAATGAGCTGCGTTAGCGTGTTCTTTACAGTGGGCTCCAGCTAAAGCTTCCCTGTGGCGGCGATGTGTATTGCCCCACCAAAGGAGACGAAACGCACCTCCATCACTCGCACGCTTTGAGATCATGACTGTTTCTTAGACCTCATTCAGTTGAGAAGTCGGTAGTTTCATACTCTAGGAGCTCTGAAACCGATTTCAGTACTCTCATTGACACATTGAAGTGAAATAATCGCCAGTGTCTGGTCCAATCTGCCACGTCTCACTAACCTGCTGTAATTACAGGGGGGCATTATCGTGGCCGATTTGGTCCATGTTGCCGTCGTCTTTACTGAAGAATGGGGGGATGGACAGATACAGAGTTTAGAGAGGGAGATTATGTTGCTATTTGATTCTGATTTCAACGGGTTTCAGTCAGTTATAGGGTTGAGAGGTGTGTCAAATATGCGAGTGTCTAGGGAGTGTGTTTCGCCCTCGGTGTTTTGTGTGGGTACGTGGTTGAAAGAATGACATCCGGGTGAATACCTAGCGTAGATACTGCTCGTCTGGGCTAGAAGTGCCCTCAGACACTCTTGGGCTGGCGCCAAGGTGAAGAAGGCGATTCAAGCCCAGACTAGTATGTACCTACAATCGAGGTAGTCAGTCCATTGCTGTATTGACTGAGCCTACCTTACTTAGTAGTTATTCCCACCGCTGTTTCAAGACTTTTCGTGTTTCTAAAGACAACAGTAAAATTTTGAGAGGCTTGGGATTACCGGACAAACTGTAGACAGAAACTGTGATGGGCGATCGTGATAAAACTGTTGAATTGATTTGTACTGTCGCACTTATGTATGTGAAGTTCAACTCGCATGTCCTCCTTCCACCTTGTTCCCTTCCTGCCTCCCTTTGCCGCCCATTGTGTGCTGTTTGCTCTCCATCACCGATTGGTATTTGGAAGTCGGCGATATTCCGTTACAGCCCCACTATTTGCGTTTTCCGCTTCATTATCTGACGTCAACTCGATGCTCTCCACGTCTTGCTTCTGATTTGGCGTTGTTTTCCGGGAGAAGAGCTTGGAGCACGTAGTGCGTAGTAGACGAGTCGTGAATGATGTGATGGGGACGACGACTGAAGTCATGGGTTTTATGTTAGTGATTGCTCAGAAGCATCGGTAGGGAAGGGCATGGAAGTAACAAATGAAAGGGTCTCTTACGTTTGCCTTTCAACCCCCAGACCCGAGCAAACTCAACGAGCATTGGTATCCATGCCAGGACGGCAGTGATCTGACCAAACCCCCACTCGTTGTCGGATAATGATCCGCCGGCTAATTCATTGACCCCCCGTCGCGTGGCAATGAATGTGTATAAGAAGAGCCACATGGTGACCAGGTTCAATGCTGCATGAATCGTTCTGAACATCAGTGAGGAAAACCGGATCAGGTTAAACCCATGCGCTTTGGACATAGGATTTAACTTAGTCCAGCCTCGCCACCTCGCCAGAGCCCATAGCATCATCCATATACAGGAGACTACTTGGCACATCCACGCTTCAAATAGGAGCCCTCTGTCATAAATACAGCTTTGTTCGGAGTCAAACCACGATACGTACCAGCGCTCCACGAAAACCGGCGGTGTGATGACTGCAAATAGTAGACAAACCCCAAGATACCAGAGATCGGAAAAGGAGAGCTGCGTGCGGTACATGGTGACGCTCAAAATTGCCTGGGTGCAAAGCCCTATTGCAGAGCATGAAATGAAGCTTGTATAAGTGAGTCCGGCACCGTCCTTTGCTATCAGAGCATAAATAAGAGCTGCTACGTTGATGGCGGACCCGAAGTAGATGAATGAAGTCCATAGTATCTTTAGCGATGAGTCCAGGGAGTGTTGATAGGCGGGCGGCATGGCCAGGTTTTGTTCGGTGACTGAGGCTTTCCGCCGCTTCGTCAGTGTAGCATTCAAGTCCTGGAATCCATAGATGCAGACAAAGAGCGTGGCCAGAATGGCTTGAAGGACATAAGTTGAGTAGACCTGCATCGATCTGTCGTTAGCTTTCACGCAGCCGTATGATCAGTTTTGGGGAAGTGCGGGCACTCACGCCAATGCCAGCAAGGTCTGCGTTACCTTCGAAGACTAAGTTTTGGCAAAACCCATGCGAACACGCAATAGTCGCGTTGACCACGAGGGGTTCAAATCCATCAGACTCCATAGTATTAACGTGGTTATACCAGTCAACAACGTTCCCGTCTGTGAGATAGCGTATTTGTGTGTTGCTGCAACAAAGAATGAACTCTCGAAGTGTTCTCACTGGAAGGCCGTCTTCATCGCTCTGAAAGCGTCGGAAGTGGGCAGCGAAAGCACCAGCTGCGGTACAGTTTATCCATGGGTCAAACATCCATAGTGTGATGTTGACTAAGGGATTTTGGGGATCCATATTGGATGAACGCGCCGGCGGCGATGGCTGGTGATGCGAGAGAAAAGCTTGGAATTGGGTTGCGGTCGAGGTTGGATTTTGAAGGACTAATAAGAAACCGATGGTCCTGGCACCATTGATGCCTAGTTTCTGACATTCTGCATCCAGCTTCAGGCTGTGAGCCCAAATCCGCACAAGTGCAAAATAGTGAAGCCACTGAGCATGCAAATGGTGCTCCTTTCTGTGAGGCTTGGAATCTTCAGCCGATCAATAGAGTAACGTTTTATGGTGGGTAGTAAAGATGTGTGACAGAATAGTGCGCCGCAGTAGCCACCAACTGTGGATGAAGTCACGCAACTGGTTGATGTCGATCCAAGTAGCTGTTACACTACTTCAGAGGTCTTCAGCTGCACAACGAAACCTCAGTTGATCGACTGATTTAAGCATCAGTGGCTGTCTTACAGCCGGTTGTCAAAAAGCCATGTTGAAGCCGTCAGGCTGCTCAGAATGAGGCGCGGGTGGCGGAATTCGTAGGGTCTGGATCCGGGGAGACGGAGATGTAGTTCCTATCCAATCATCAGTCACTCGAGCACCATACTCAATGCACTGAAAGGTCTTCACGAGATGGACACAGTCCGCTTCATTTCAATCTGGTCAATCGCCAGAAGGTCTCCGTCTTGCGGTACCGTAACATGGCGATACAGTGACATTCCGGTTGCGCATGTGAGACAGCGAGGGCTCGTAAGAGCGTGTGTAAAGCCAGCAGTAAGTGGACTGAAGAGCCACCGACGCAGCTGAGGCTGAGAGTCGGAGTAAGATCGTCAACAGCATCGGATGCTTAAGTAGGTCTCGCCATGGTACCTCTCAGGGCATCCTTTGCCGTGGGTTTAGGGGCATTGTATGTCGCGTATCTGGAACCTTCGCAGGCAGGAGTGTGGTTCCCGTCTTTTTTCCTTCCTTCATTTCCTCCTTGGGTATCTGTCTTGGTTGTGAAACGATGGCCATCACTGCTTATTCTACCAAGTGCTTGTCTTCTCGCGGCGGCGGTATCCGCCTTCAACTAGACCAGTTGCACTGTCCGTTTCGGTTTCGGACCCCGAGCAACTACTCTCCATGTCCTGAGGTGGCGTATGGTTTGGCATTGTCCGCGTGAAAAAGCGTAGCAAGCTCCCAATGTTGAGATCGCGTTGGATATGATATTCTCGCAAAAAATTTGCCAGCAAAGAGAGGTTTTATTCTGGATATTGGCTGTGAAGTTGTCGAACGCGGCGGAAGAAATAGCGTCGGTATAGCGGTACCAGTCAACAGCGTTGCCATCTGTGAAATTCCCTATCGTTGTGTTGCTGCAAGAAAGAATGAACTCTCGAAGCGTTCGCACTGGAAGGCTGTCGTCATCGCCCAGAGAGCGTCGGAGGTGAGCAGCAAAGGCGCCAGCTGCAGTACAGTTTCTTTCCGGTTCAAACATAGACAGCGTGATGTTGATCAACGGGTTGCTTTGATCCATGACGAACGAGGGCGCTTGGAAGGACAATTAACATGGCAAAAGATGAGGTGACTTTGAGCGAGGCCATGGCATAGGTCGTTGGGAATGGTACAGAACATATAACAATTCCAGGTCGATCGTGAAACACATGAGGAAGATTCCCTCTGCTCCTGAAAACCGTTGTGGAAGGTGGTCGTCCTGGGACCTGGTCGATGATTGGCTGGGACCATAAGAGTCGGAGGGCGTAATGCAGAGACGCACCTATTTGCATCGTAAGCGCCTTCCGCTCTGTAAGAGCTGAAAACATACCCACATACGCACAGTGTCCAGCGTGCATCGGATGAACCGCCTATTGCAACGAGTTGCTGGGTCTGACCAACATGTGTACTCGTCGTGATTCGGAGCATCCTTCCCCTTGCCGTAGGCATGCTTGATGCAAACAGCCGCAACCGTTGCCGGGAACGGCGTCGACGTCCAGTGAGCGAGGCCCTTGAAGGACGAGGCAACTGGTCGCCTTAAGAACTTTGTCGGAGAATTGTATAAAGAGCTGCATAAGCCCATCAAGTGGCCCTGGTCAGTGAAGAGTGACCCGAAATGCCACCCGATCACCCTATCATCATTGACGGAGTCCTGGCTTCTTCGATCATCAAGTGTAGCGCTGCAGACAGCCACGAGTGTTCGCACCATCCCCAGCTGATCATCTGGCGATATGTATCGATGGAGTGAGGTTCAAGCTGGGTATCTTATTCCTGAAGGCTAACTGTAACACATTATACTCATCAAGGCTTAGTGTGATCCTGCGGCTCTTCTTTGCTTCGCAGGTTGAGCCCGGGCGTAACCAGGACTTTTTGTTCCTCGAGGTTCTCTTCCTCTAGGGGTGACACTGGGATCCGCGTGGCGTCAGTGCATGTGCTGGTCGGTGTCATGGTCTTTTCCACGATGTCCCTTTCCTTGTTGTACTCGGTTGGTAACTCGAATCTGAATTCCGTATCCATTTCCACTGGCGCCACTTTCGAATCAAGCTCCGATGGTAGTATCTTATCGGTATGTAACTCGGCCGAGCTTATTTCACTGTCTAGTTCCGTTCTGCTTCCCGCCCCGCTGGTGCCGGGCAGTTCAGGTGTACTGTCGGAGCTAGACCGTTGATGTCTTGCTTTCTTGGATCTCTTTCTCCTGAAAAGCACAAAGGAAACGACCAGTGCTCCAAGAACGATTGCAGCAGCAATAGCCGTGACGGCCCAGACCCAGCCAGCAACACTCTTTGAGCCCGAGACGCTAGCCCCTGTTGGTGACATAGGGGTCGTTTGAAGGGGGCCGTAGCCTCCTGATTTAGCTGCCGCCCCGTTGACGCCTGTTGGGCGAGCGGGTCTGTTGCTGCTGTGCCAGCCAGTCCAGTCGGCACGTGTGACTGTTGTGTTCACAAGCTCAACGACAGTGATGGTTTCACCAGTAAGTAAAACATAGTTGTTGGTCTGTATGACCTGGTCGGTAGTCAACCAAGACGCGTCAATGGTGGCGCTGCTTGTTGAGGTTCCAGGAATTGTAGTTTGGTGTGATGCTTTAATGTCCGTGGCCGTTACAAATGCCGTGCTCGTTGGTAGTTCAGGTGCAATAGTGCCAATCATAGGTACCGTTGGCTCGGGCGGGCCAAGTGAGAGAGTAACAGTTGCCCCAAGGCCGATACATTGGCGAATGATGTCACCGAAGTAGGGATTGATGTATTTTTGATAGGCGCCAGCATAAGCCGAATTATTTGTGGTCCCGGTCTTGATACAGCTATTGCAAGAGTTGAACTCTCGGATAAGGGGGCCGTCAGCATCGCATAAGTCTTGACGAGCCAGAAGAGATTTAGATTCCATAAAGGCATCATCTGTGATGGTCTCAGTTAGTGGCTGTGATGTCACAAGAAGAGAATAAAAAATTTGATAACTTACCACATTGCTGAAAGCAATTCTGGGGCACTCCTAAATCGACCCCATCTCTGGGCGTCAGTAAGTCCCACATCTTGTTGGGGCTGTTGGCAGGCGGAAAAGACAGAATAGAGTAAGACGGGCCGAGGAGATACTTGGGAACACAAGGAATGGACTGGCGCGCCCATTTAAGGAAACTCGGAGAGTTAAAGGATTTTCAGGGGTACCATGTAAGGCGTGCTAATCCCATGCTGACATTGGCTTCTGTATCCACCATCCTAATTCGGGTTACCGTCACTGCCAAGGGTGTAAATCTTGTTAACATGTGCTTCCCGGCGCACAGTGAACTCAATGGCAATGGCCGTGATGAATGGTCCGTGGGATTAGGTATAACAGGTTGGAAGTTCGAATGTGAACAAGACTAGAATTCGAGCTGGGATCGGGGAAAAGGGAATGAATGGAAAGCCTGGAGATGCCCGGCAGTCGTATTTGATAGCAGACAGCTCTTGGGGCAGCTTGAAGCATGGGTCTGGATATGTATGGATGTGAGGTTTGGGGATGGTGACGAGTGATCTTGAATGAAAGGACATCCCAATTTCTGTTCACGACAGGACCTGGGGGAAGTTTCAGCCACAGTCAACGCCACAAGTGACCCACAGATGGGACTGAAGGGTGGCCCGGTGGAAGTTCGGGTACTGCCGCAGTGGCATCCCATGTCACTGCGTGGCGGCAGGCATCCACTAAATGATGGGATTACCCACTGAAACCCATGCACTAACACGCGCAGCTGGAGGCTACTAACCACGTCATCAGCGCATCTCGTGAGACAGTTGTGCACAGTGACACAGACACTCGGAGTCGGGTCTCCCACCTACTGCACTCGACATCACTCGCGTCTCGCACCCACGTGTAGTGTAATTAGACTTTTGCGCGTGCACTTCCATTGTAATGGAAATCTAAACTTGCTTTCCCCCCTCCCCACTATGTCTCGGATCGCGTACTACCTCTCCCAGAGACAGAGCCAGAGTCAGCAACTGGACTGAAAGTCACGGTCCCTACAGGTCATGGGCCTGTTCACCTCTTCTCTCTTCTGACTCGTCCTCTTTCGCAATAACCTCAACTTATACACTGCTGATTAGAACAGACAGTCCGTCTTGGTACAAACGCGTTCAACATTGTCCACCCTGTCGACTATCTCTCGGTATAAGTGGCTGACGTCAGGTACGTGCATAGCAACTCTATCGTCGATCATTGCGCTCGAGTCTTGTCACCGCCTTCTTCAAAGGGCCATCTAGCCATGTCCAACACCGCCGAGACCCATCATACCTTCGGCTCCTCCTGCCGATTAGCGCCCATCACCGAACCCGAACACACCGACGGGCTCGAGGGCATCCCGCCCATCAACGCCCAGTTCTTCTACTCGTCCGCCATCCCCATCGATGACCCCTTGTCTGTTGCCACAACTGTTGGCTCCTCCGATGCGAAAGCAGCAAACCTGCCACTGCGACCCTTCTCCCCCGGCGATAACAGGGCGTTAGAGAGGGCATGGCTGGGCTTCTCCTCTGACAGGGACAGGCGGAATCACAGACACGCTCAAAGAAACCGGAGTCCAAGTCCGTCTCTCTCCAAGGAAAATGCCGAGAAACTTGCCGCTATCGTGGCCCTGCTGGCTGCCAAACACAAGGAAAAGCATGACCGGGAGGGCCACTCCGCCTTCTCAGCCTTGGCCACCACCGAGAACGAGGATAACCACAGCGCCCCAGTATGTTGCGCCGAGCTTTCCATCGATGCTTCCGCAGAGTTAAGAAAAGAGTTTTGCGCCGTCACCAGACGTCGCCAGCCATCCCTCGACCACGACCGTGTTATTCAGGAGGTTATGGCCCAGTTAACTCGCTTGTGGGCAAATTCAGACATTTCGCAAGAGTCCTCGACATTCATGCCCTCAAGTCTTCCGCTTGGCACTAGCCCTCTCCAAAGACTTTCGGGCTCCCTAGAGGTGAAGCCTTCCTCCTTCAACGATAACCAGCTCCCTCTTTCCGCAGTTGGGAGGATGATTCCAAGACCCCCGGTCGTGGACGATGGAATCTCAGGCAAGCCGTTCGTTCGTGTCGAATCACTCAGCCGGTCAGTCGGTGCTACACCAGAAGACAAGCCATCCAGACCATCATCCATACGCGGTCTTCCATCACGGCTAGGAGGAAATGAGACCCGAGCGGCCAAACGTATCGTCAAAGAAGCGATCCGCCAAGCAGAAGATTCTGTTGAGGTGCCTGTTGGTATTTCGAGGTTGCACATGGTTTCGCTACCAGTTCTTCAAATGAAGCCGATATACTGGTCGCCTGTCAACGACATTTCCACAGTGCAACGTGCCACGTGGTTCTACAGGTAGGCATTGGCTCCTATTTTGCTTTTGTTAATCGACTGCTGACATGTATTCTCAGAGACACCATGACTCCCGTCGAACCTGTTGTCGCCAATCAGCTAGAAGCTGGCTATCGGGAGTTACGAGTCTGGGGTCAAACATGGAAGGACGAACTAAAGTCGGCGTTGGATGTTGGTGCGCTAGGCGAAGAAAAGGTTTCGCACCCCTTATGGCCAGAAGTTCCGGACAAGCGACCCAAGGTCAAGGACGACATCCCTCCCGCGCCACCAATATCGAGTGATCCGTTTTGCGCCGCCAGATGTTTCCGTGGAGAAGCCGCAGCTGAAGGAACACTCGAACCTGTGCATCCCGATCAAGAACTGGCGCCACCACCACCCGAACCCTATGCCAATTTCCATGTCATCTACAAGGACAAGTCCGCCGCGTTTCTTCTGAGGCCCAGCCTCAAACCCAGTGCATACCATGGAAGACGACCACTTCAAAAGATCATGAAAGGTATTACAGTGGGAATTCCTGTGGTTCGCGGTTTCGACCAGGCCATCTGGGACAAAGTACACCAAAAGAAAGGCACATCGCCAAATAAAGCGCCGAAACGCAAAACGCCACGACAGACAAATGTTTCGGGACATGGTTGCCCGGCATGTCAAATGGATCAGGATCGCGGCCAAGTGACCGATCTTCTCTTGATTGCGCATGGCATCGGTCAAAAATTTGCCGAGCGGGTTGAAAGTTTCCACTTTACGCATGCCGTCAATGCCTTTCGAAGGGCTGTTAACATCGAGTTGGAGAATCCCATGATAAAGCCGGTGCTCCGGCCTAACCAGAATGGTATCATGGTGCTGCCTGTGAATTGGCGTCATCTCCTCAGCTTTGAAGATGGCGGTCCTAGCAAGGAAGAGGACTCGTCCGCATATACTCCTGACGGTTTCGGGCTGAAGGACATTGAACCCAACACCATCCCTGCCGTGCGCAGTATGATCTCAGACGTCATGTTCGACATTCCCTTTTACATGTCCCACCACAAGCCAAAAATGATTGCCGCTCTTGTGGGTGAAGCAAACCGTGTGTATCGATTATGGTGCAAGAACAACCCCGGCTTCGCCGACAAGGGCCGCGTTCACCTCATCGGCCACTCGCTCGGCAGCGCCATGGCAGTTGAGATTCTCTCCAAGCAACCAACCAGCGTCCCCCGACCTCTAGATCTATCCAGGACACAACCAGAAACCCGACACTTCGAGTTCGACACCACCAACTTGTTCCTCCTCGGCAGTCCCGCGGCATTCTTCCTCCTCCTAGAAAGAGGCAGTCTCGTCCCCCGGCGCGGCCGCCTCAAGCCCGGCGCAGACGCAGCCGACACGCTCAACAAGGACATAGTCGGCGACATCGGCCGCTTCGGCTGCATCGCCGTCGACAACATCTACAACATTCTCGCCAAGGAGGACCCCATCGCCTACCTCCTAAACGGGACCATCGACCCCGTCTACGCCTCCAGCCTCAAGACCGCTTACGTCCCCACCTTCACCACCTCCTTCTTCAAATCCGTCTCCGACTCCCTCCGCGGTTTAGCCGGTTTCTCATCAACCGCCACCACCTCCGGCCCCAACACTTCTTCCAACCCTACCGACCCCTCGGGTCAATCACCCGACCCAACCGGACACCAATCCCAAATGCTATCAACCTCCAAACCCCCCACCTTCCTCCGCCTCCCCTCGCAACTCGAGCTAGAAGTGCACGATTTCTCCCGGGAAGAAGTCGCCGAAAAAAAGGCCTTTTTGTTGAACGATAACGGACAAATCGATTATTATCTGAGATCAGGCGGCGGGCCGCTGGAGATCCAGTACCTGAACATGTTGAGCGCGCACACGAGCTACTGGAATAATCTGGACTTGATTAGGTTTTTGTGCATTGAGATTGGACGGCGACCGGGCAGGGAGAATAGTTTGGGGGTGTTGAGGGCGGAGAAGATTGTTAGGCTGCGGAAGGGGGAGAGGATGGGATAGGACGGTACTGTAGTTTTCTTGGATGTGCAATGAATGGGGTTGGGAGAACTTGGGAGGTTTGATGAACGATGAGGTTATGAGATTATGAAGTTATGGATGGAATGACTTGGCGTTGGGATATTATGGGAGGGAGGAATTTTGGAGTTTCTCTCTTGCATTGCGTTGCGTTTTTTTTTTTTTTTGAATGGTCGAGGAGGATAGACTGTCTGTCTGGTTATGATGGGAAAGAGAGACGGGATGGAGGCTCAGCGTTGTGTTCCTTGTTTTGGTATGAGTGTTGCTGCATGAAGGAAGACTGTGGCATTTTTTTTGGCTTGATACCCTTTATCATTATTAAATGAGCATTGTTCTGAAGGTATTTAGTCTTATATATACAGAACGGGCGAACGTGAATGTGTGGACTGACTTGATGGGTCTGTTTTCTCCTCCGTCTTGGTGTCGTTCAAGGATTCAACAATGTCAGTCGGTGTCCATTCTAGGGCGAGCTCTCTGGTAACGAAAAAGAAGCATTGATAAGCGCAAGCTTTGCATTATACATGCACATACGACCATACCCACTGGAAAACTCGGGATCCCGTCCGCTCTCCCATAGATAAGCCAGTGAGGGCCAGACTAGTAGTTGGGTCGGTGACGACCAGCGAATCCCTGGTGTTGTATGTCTTTTTTTTTCTTTTCTTTTTCCCTTTCTATTTATGCTTAGTCTCCTTCTGCCTTTCTGGTTTTAACCATGATTATAGAAGGATTGGATATCTGTACCAAGTATCCACAGCTTCCATCACTGTGGAATGGTACGTCGTAAAAATTGCTCGAATATGTAGAGACGGCAGAGTTCTAGTGCGCTATCACTCCGAATCGTTCGTTATGACGGGGCAGAAAGGCGTTAGTTAGGTCATCACGAAAAAGCGAGGTCTCTCATGAAGCTTCTTTATGTCATCACCCACTTCAACAAATTAATTGAAACATGCTGACATAGTTGATAAGTTGTCATCTTGGCGAGTGTCCCATCAGTATCGGTGTCAAGCGAAACGGAAAAGAGGGGTCTATCGATGGGGGTCCTGGATTTGCGTCCAGTCTATAAAGGCACCGTGGAACAACAGCCGAAAAAGTGAAACCGGTGCAACCCTAGAGGTATCTGAGAACCAACAACACAGAATCATCAAGTACTGAATGGAGACAGTTATCACGTTATGGAACACTTCTGGTAGAATACCCGTTTCAATTGATTGGTACAAAATCCTACATTACTTAAAGTACCCGAATGTCTCAAAATCCTTTGATCCATCCATCCATCCATCCATGCATCATGCATCATGCCCACCAGCTATCTATCTTGCTGGGGCTTTGGATAACAAAATCACACCTCGCAATAATCATTCAATGCGCATTCAACGCCCAGAACGCCAATCCCTTCCTTCCTTTTCTTTCTGTATCAATCATAATAATCGTGTCATCATAATCCATTCATGGTTCGTGTCTTTTCACTGGCCGCAATAAATTTCTCGAAGCCAGTGTGAAGAAATAACACCTTTCATTATCGAGCTGGCTGATGCCAGTAGTAGTAAAAAACGCCGTGAGACCGTTTAGTACCCTGACTCGGTGTAAAAGCAGTATTCTCGTCCGTCCCCCAACGCCGCGCCTATGCTGAAAGTAATGCAATGGTATCGTAGGTAAAAGCCAAATTGAAAAGAAAAGGAAAGAAAAGAGGGCCAAGCAGCAAAGACCCAGCAGATGGAACTCGAGCTCATTATCCGGTAGAGATATGTATGTGCTCGTGCGGAATCAGGACATTCCAGGCTCTGAGATCCATCCGTCTCATGCCGTGCGTGTCCTGACGTCCGCAGTCCAAATGACCTCTTCCATCCCAGCCCTCTTTTTCATCGCGATGGCGAAAATGAAATTATGGGATCAACCCAAACGCCGTCGCTTTGGCACTCCTGTTCGAAAAGATCAGAGAATGCCCCCAATATTAAAATCGCCTTTTTCAATCTCATGTAAAATCACTTCAAGCGCAATCCGTACCTTCACCACGCAGCCTCTCGGGTCCATATGGCCTCCTTTGCCTTTCCGGAATCGCCGGAGTGGCCGTGGCGGCGCTCTGCTGTCCGTCCTCATCCTCCGCCGCCTCGTCAATGCCATGGCCGTCCCTGCCCGTGGGCTCATGCTCCGCCATGTTCTTGCGCTTCTTGCTCTCGGGCGCCTCCTCGACCTCGACCGACCGCCGGCAGACCGGGCAAGTGTTATGCACCTTGAGCCAGGGCGTCACGCACTCGCCGTGGAAAAAGTGGTTGCACGGCAGGAGCGTGGCCTTGTCGCCGAGTGTCATGTCGTCGACGCAGATGACGCACTTGGTCTTGTTGTCCTGGCAGCCCTGGAGCATCTGCTCGTCAATGTCCTTAACTCTGAGCTTCTCGATGGCGGCTTGAGAGGCTGGAGGGGCGCCGCCTGGGTTCTGGGCGGCGTGCTGCTCGCGGAGCTGGGTAATGATGCGGTCAAAGGCCTCTTGCGAGTAAACGCCGTCGTTAACAAAGTTAAGGTTGCCGAAGGGGCTGAGGATGGCGGAGAGGAAGGCGTTCATGAGACCAGGTGGTACGGGACCAGATCCGAAGGGGGATGGTTGGCCTTGAGTGGCTGGCTGGGGACCTTGCTGGGGCTGTTGCTGCTCGGAGGCTTGTGGTTGTTCGCCATTGGATTGTGGCTGTTGCTGCGCAGTGCCTTCGGTCTGGGTGGTATTGGTCGTAGCATTTGATGCTGGAGCAGTGTGGACATGAGGAGGCGTAGGAGTAAAGAAGTGCAATCCAAAGAAGGTAATGGGGGGCGGACCAGAAGCGGTAGAGCTGTTAGGAGTGGAGCCATTGGTAGATGAGTTGGAAGCATTGGATTGCTGGTTGTTGGGCTGCTCGTTCGACTGCTCGGTGGATTGCGCCTGGCCATTTGGTTGTGAGCCAGCCGGTTGCTGTTGAGACTGTGGGGCGAGAGGCTCGGAAATGACGGTAGTAAAGAAGGTCACAGGAGGGAAGATAAAGCGGATCTCAAAGTGCTGGGTGTTGGTAGGGCGAGATCCAGATCGAGGGGCTTCGGTGTTGGCCTCATCTGAAGTCTGAGTGGTTGTTGATGTGCCATTGGCTTCGGTCTGTGGTCTCGCATCATTGAAGTCGTTGTTCTCGTTGGCATTTGGGGTCTCTGTGTTGGAGGTTGTGGCCTCTGTGGGCTGTTGAGACTCGGTCTCGGTAGCGGCAGCAGAACGGTCAGGTTGAGGCTCCTCTTCAGGCGCGTCTTCTACGGTGGCAGGCATAGGCCGGCGGTGGAAATGGCGCGGGTCATTCTCAGGCGTGATCTGGCGATCCTGGTCTGGTGATGGAGTTGTGGAAGTAGACTCGTTGTTGTGTGTCGAGTCAGCCATGTTGGTGATAATCTGGCTTGGCAATGGGGTATTCAGCTCCCGAATCCCGGAGGGTGTTTTTTCGAGTCAAAGGAGTCAAGCAACAGGACTCGGCGACGTGATTGCTTCAAAGGGAGTATAAGTGAGAAAGAATTCAGGGACCAGACGGGTTATTTGTCTGGAGATATTAAAGCGGGATGTGGGATTATGAGGTGTAGGGTGGAGTATATTAAGATGTTGAGGTAGTAAAAGGGCAAGAATCAGATATCGAAGCCGAGATTGCCCGTGGATTTGTAAAAAAGGCAAGACCGCTACTTCTGCAGCCAAAGTGGTTTGATAACGAAGTGGAAACTGCCTGCGCTGCGTGGCTCCCGTCGGTTCCAGATTGACGTTGCGTGACGCGATTCGGGGATGGCGCTGGCACAGGCCCGTCACCGACAGGAATGGCTGTTGACAGCGCCGTTCCAGGGCCAGTTGTTGCCGTAAGCTCTCTTCTAGAAACTGCGATTGTCGGCCGCCCCTTTCTACGAGGTGCTATGGAGGTCACCCTTGGCCAATCACGTCGTACCACTAGCCACACATTGCGGCGTTTAGGATGGAAACATTGTGGCTGGTGCTGAATAATTGGCGCTTCGGGACGACCGGACGTATTTTGTCATGGCACTTTCGGGGCTCATATTGGTGGGTGTTGATGTGGTCCCTTTGATTAATGTTGTCATCTCAAAACATTTCTTTGACAGCAAACATCACGAGGTGCGAGCAAAAGAAAGAGACTCGACCAATGGAAGTGAAGTGGTTGTGCATATCAAAGCGCGCCTTGCGCTTACATAAGTCCCTTACTTCGTGCATCTAAACATCAAAGTCCGGTATAGTGTAACGGTTAACATATCGCGTTTTCACCGCGAAGCTCGGGGTTCGATTCCCCGTACCGGAGTTTTTGCAACCTTTCACATATTTTTATTTTTCCCTTCCTGCATCTCATTCCGGCCGATTGTTTCCTTCCTCATTTATTTTTGAAGAAGTGATTCTCAAATACACTTCAGGACCCGATAAGAAGTGCGGTCTTTACAGGAGCTGAGCGCGCATCCAGATCGATATGCAAGATATCGGCGAGTGATGCTTGAGAGCTCTACATTGCGCTTTCCCGAGGCGCATTTGCATTTTTCCCATACTGCACCTTCGCCGCAGTGTTTTCACCCAATCGTGGCATATCGCAGACTGGACCTGTTACGGCCTTTTGTCATCCGAATCAAGCAACCTGTCGGTACCGGACTGTATGATGTCTTCCAACTGCGGTGGGCGACGACTGGGGTCGCGTACAAAACGTAGATATCTGATTTGTGAATCGTTTCCCCAAATTCTTCCCAGAACCATACCTTCTACGCCAATAACCCATCATGATTCTCATCACCCTGATAACCGTATCATCATCAGCTTTCTTTGGGAATAGCCACTCCCGTATCTAAGGTATCATTTGACCCCGCGCTACATGCATCGAAGCTGAGAGCAATGTCGCCTGCAGCAAATCATGTCTCCTCGGTCATTCCTCAAGCAACACAAGGCTGCGATTGCTGCCTAACGACTTGTTGTAGGTACCGGTGCTCCATTTGCTATTAAAGACTTGCCCACCTCGAGTAACTTTTGCAACCGTTTTGCGTTTGCTGTAACCAGCAAGCGCCCTCGACTCTAGCAAGTTCGGCCACCGCTAGATCTCGACCCGAGTCGCATGAAGTCTGCAAGTTCATGATACCAGCAACAGCTCTTCCTCTGTCGATGTCCCTTGTCAACGCCTGCAATATTCCCATCACAGTCCTGTTCTCACTCCTCGAAGATGGCGCCTTACCAGTACCCGCCTCTCGAAAATGCGACCCACTTCCGAATCTTGTACATCGATCCATCAGAGGATTACGAGAAGCAACTCTCAGGATCACTAGTTCATGCCGACCTGAGTGATGAGCCGGTCTTCGATGCGCTGTCGTATTACTGGGGAGCACCAGATCTCTCCCGCCGGATTCTTATCGACGGCTGTGAGCTCGCTATCACTGTCAACCTGGACTTGGCTTTGAAGAGGATGCGAAGGCGACAAGAGTACTGCCCGCACCTTAGAACTGGACCTATTCCGATATGGGCGGACGGTATCTGTGTCAATCAGAAGAATATTCCAGAACGCAATCATCAGGTGCGGCTGATGTCGCAGATCTACAGCAACTGCCGGGAATGCCTGATACACCTCGGAGAGGAAGCGGATGGTAGTGGTGATATGGGATTCATCGAGAAAACCGTATGTGACTATAATCGATGGGACCCGAGGCGCAACTTAGCTCAAAGCTTGACCGAATCAATTGCCGGCATCACCAGAGAACCTCTTTCCCAAGAAGATGAGGATGGCTGGACGCGCTTTAGGCATTTGCTGAGTCGCCCATGGTTTAGGCGGCTATGGGTGATTCAGGAGTTCGCATTGCCTCAGCAAGTCAGGATGATATGCGGAGCCTGGGAAATGGCTGGCGGGCGATTCTTTACCTTAATTTTGACGACATTCACGCGGAACGCATCTTCACCCCTTTGGACCGTTGTATATTTTGCCGCAGCGGAGAGACCGATCGAACCGGTTGCTCTTGATTTTCTTGCCAGTACGAGAATGAGGCTTGGGCGTAGTCTTGCGCCGTTGTCCAAGGACATGTCTCCCCGGCCACTGCCCCTGTTCAATCTACTCAGCGAGACTCGTGCCTTTGAAGCAACAGATCCTCGGGATCACTTCTTTGCTTTCCTTAGTCTGGCAACCGACACTAAAGATAGCAAGCTTGTTGCCGATTACTCTAAGACTTTGGAAGAAGTAGAGTTAGAGTTCGCGCGACAGCTTGTGGATGATGGGTATGGGCTGGCCATGCTTAGGCTGGTGAATTATGAGCGAGAAAGCCCGCGAACATACCTAAGCTGGATACCGGACTGGACTGGGAGGTTTCCGCAGCCAGATGGCCGTATATGGAGGGATCACAGTCATAAGCAGCCAGATCCGAAAACGGTCTGCATGGCAACCTCAACTGATGAGCGAACTCTTTTGGTTCAAGGTTGCCATATCGAAGTCGTCAAAACTGTGGGCATGCCCATCTCCGACGATTTACATAGCCTGGGAAGTATGGAGTGGCTGAACGAGATAGAGGTAATGACTGCTGGGTTTACCTCATATCCCAGCGGTATTGACCCCCTTGCGGAAGCGATATGGAGAGCCATTATAGCTGACAGGTCCTATGACCAAGTGAGGCCGGCACCAGAGGCATACGGGTCCATCTACCGAAAATATTGTCAGTCTTCTGGAGATAAAGAGGGTATTTTCTTCTTTTTGGCCATATTAGCGGCCGGTTCAGTCAGATTCTGCATTACGACTGGAGGGTTCTTTGGGCTGGTTCCTAGCTTTGCTGAAGCAGGGGATGTTATCATAACGATAAAAGGTGATGAAGATCAGGCTATGTATGCCGTCAGGGCAAGCGTTACGGGCGAGAATGAGGATGATGCGACCTATACGTGGCTGGGACATGCCTATGTCCACGACATCTGGAAAGTGAAGAAGTACGAGGAACTCGAGTGGAGCCACTTGCGGATCAAATAGTTCTTCAGTTGATGAAATTATGGTCATCATCGAAACGGTCTCTGGGATCCCGCTGGCAATGGCCGTGGCTCTGCTTCCATTTTTGTCGTGCTTGGTTGAATATTTAGAAGGAACGAAAGGTTGCGCGCCTACCATAGGGGCTGGTTCAAAAAGTCCAGCTGGAGTGTACCTAAGGTATCTGTCTCAAATTGAAGATCGCGCCTGCCTCCACTGTCTGCCAACGAACTCTGACTCTGATCATATCCTACCAACCCCTTTATCACTCGGGCCATCACCAGGAATCATCTGCACTTCACACCACAGACAACCACCCAATCCTTCCCCAAACCTTTCCTCGTCTCAAAAAGTGGGATACTTCTCGCCCTGGTCCCACTACATCAACAAAGCAACAATGTCAGCACATCACGTCACATCACATTTCCTCCCACACCACAACACTAGAAACAACTGAACTCACATGCTCAACAATACACCCACCCTCCATGCGATACCGATCAACAATCTCGCCAAAGTAATTGGTCCGATAGTTCAACCACCCAAACTCGCCCTTAAACGTCCTTCTCAACGGGGTAATCTGCACCGAGCCCCAGTAGGGACCAAGAGCATCGAGAGCAGCATTAGGGCCGTTGGCGCTGGCGAAGGGGTTATGGTTCTGTTTTCCGTCAACCAAATAACACCGTTAGCATACTTAACCAACTGATCAAATGGCATTATCGAAGGTGTGAGATCGAAGGCGTACAATGTATGTCGCGTCAATGTACTCAAACGCTTAAGTCAAGTTCTTGGTCTCAAGGAAGGCATGGGCGAACTTCTCGAAGCGGGCGGCTGATTCCTGCTCGGTGGGAGGAGGGTTGAGTTGAGGTTGGCATGGCGCTGGGGTTACGACTGCTCTTGCTTCGAGGACTCTGCTTGGGATTACATCCTCGAAAGGCGTTGGGGCGGCGAGGGCACCGAGGGGTGCTGCAAGAAGGAGGAACGAGATGGAGGTGATGCCACGCATTTTTGCTTCCAACTGTCTCTGAGCTGAGGCTCGTGATAGTTGAAGTCAGGAGAAGTGGAAGAAAGTGAGGCTCAACTTGCTGCCAGCCGTTGACCCCGTTTTATAGATCCATCCATGCGATGTGATCCAGCCGGGAATGGCCTCAGTTGATCTCGGTTACCCCTTTTACCCAACCCACGGACGCCATAGTCACTGGTGATATAACATGGCCTGGGCCTTGGGCGAATCATGTTGGAGAGGGAAATAGCCGACGGGCGGGACAAGTCTTTTGATGGAAACATGGCGTCTCGTTTACGATGTCTTGGGGAACGTTGTGTTGCCATGATGAAACCAAGCACCGGTCGGCTAATCTGGCGAGAATCTGGGGGTGGCGTTGACCCCGTTCGCGTTGGGCAGGATGGCAGACACAGTTATAATTGCTATTATTCCACTCTTCACATGTCTGAACTTCACCCTCTGTCTCAACCTAATCAACTCCCGAGTTTCAACACGCACAAGATTGAAGAGAGATATGCATCGATGGCTTTGCCTTGAGGTGAGATAAGATGCAGGGACGACTGATTGTTTTCTCAATAGGGAATATTCACTTTCCAGACTTGATCAGTGTCAATCACAAGGACTCTGCCTCATCAGAAGTGAACCGCCCGTCTCGGCAGTCGGGTGGTGATGCCATAGGGGAACCGTTGTGGAACAAGAGATTGTGAGGCCTTACACGTGCGCCCGCTGGGAGGTTTCGGTTGGTGCCGTTTCTAGATGGGATGTTATCTCTTTGGTCTAAGGTCTGGGGGATGACCCGAACCCTGGAATTTCCCGAGGTGCCCTCTCACATGGTGGGGTAGCCCTCCCTCTAGCCTCCAAAATACTACGCAGTAGCGCGGGATGGATTGGCGAAGATTGGGGGCGTCGAGGTTGGTGAGGGGGCACGGGCACAAAGCAGCCGCTGTCTGATTTGACCGGACGCTGACTGCATTTTCTCATGCATTTCGAAGATGCTTGGTACCGGTGCAGGAAGGTGCAGAATGGTGTGGTGTATCGATACGCAGGATACGGTACCACCTATCCTGCCATCCTGCCATCCACTGTTCCCCTCAATCTAGCATTTCCCCGAGTCCAAGAATCTGGCACGAGATATGTAAATCCATCACCCGCCTTCTTCAGGGTCTGTTGCTGTCTGTCTGATGACAGGTTTGATAGGCGTGTTTTGATACACAGCAGATACCCGTCTGGAAACAAAACGGACAAAAAAGATGTTTCCACTTGGTTGCATGGAACACTGAGGAAAGAGCGCGGCTACAGCGACCAGGGGCCCATTACTAACACGTCCGCTACCTACGGGGCCGCTAACGGGGGGTCGCAGCTGGGTACGTACCCCCTAGTAAAGATTAAAGAAGGAAAGCGGCACAGCCAAGACTCTCGGCCACACGCTGTCGACAGACATCCAAATTTATCACTTTCTTTGCATTTCGCTAACTCTGCCTCTTCCTCTAGAACCTAAACCATCTCCCATCTTCGCATCCTGGGCAATCTACCATCTTCGCGCAGCATCTTGCAAACATTTCCCCGTTCTTCTGAGCCGTGACAAGGTCCTGGCAGATAGAAGGAGGCCCACCATTCCTGTCTCACCTTATTATCCCGTCCACGAGTCCATCGACCTTCGAGACCCCGATACCCCTCGTTTCCTCGACTACCTACCTACCTTGCTTGCCATCGACTTATCGATAACCACTGTACCACCCGTTGTACCACCCGCGCCCGCACGACAACCTAACCTGTACAACCTACCGCGCTTATCCCGAGACTTGCAAACGTGCGCTCTACATCAGAATCGATTCATACTCGCGGGGTGCCCCTCACCTGCTACCTTAGCTCCAACATCCTCGACCTTCCGAACAGTAACAGTTTCCTCTGTAACATCCCACATCAACGACAAGGTCAATCACACCACGATGGCCTCCGTTTCCACCACGGGGCCGAATGCCCAGACAACTGCGATTCATAATGACCTGGGAAGGGAAGATCAGACACTGCTCCTGTTTGCCCACCTGATGGAGGGCGGCAAGGAAGACGAGGAGACGGTCGAAAGTTTGGGCAAGCTGACCAAGCTGCTCAACGACGATGTCGAGGCCACCAAGAAGGGAGAGAAATCCATTACCACCGTCATAGATAGCGACTGCGTCGATACCATGTTGTGTTATCTGGATATGAGACAGTCCGACATTGTTCGCGGTCATGCTGCTCTCTGCACCTCTGCTTACCTCAAGGCCGCCGGCGACGACGGCAGCAAGAAGCTCTCCGCCTTCTTCCTCGACCGGGTCCAACGAGGCACCTACGACGACTATATTGTGGCGTTTTGCGTGGCAGCTACCATCTTCCCCATCGTCCCCGATCTCACGTCCGACCTTTTCCTCACCGAAGGTTTCCTCCCCAGTCTAGGCCCGCTTATGAGGCGCAAGTGGAAGAGCCGCAAAGTCGAGACAGCCTGCCTCGAAATGCTCAACGCTGCTTGCATGCACTCTCACTGCCGTGAAGCTGTCCAGAAGTACTGCATCGACTGGCTAGAGGAGATTGTGGACCAGGATACCGAGAAGGTTATCGAGTCCATGTACACCACCGATCCCGACGTCGCCGTCCAGGAGGGTTCCGTTTCCATGAGGAGGCACTCGATCCATGTCCAGAACCTGGCCGCCGTGGTCTTGACCAAGCTCAGGGTGAGCCTCCAACTGCCTCCGTCACCCACCTCCGAGGTTGGCGCCCCCTCCCTCTGATATCCCTGCGGCTGACATCAGCTCAAGGCAATTCAACCCGACCAGGCACCTCCAAACTTGTCCGACCCATCCCAGCCCCGGATACAGCCGGCGACAACCAGCGTAGAAGATCTCTCCAAAAAGTTTACCCAGATGCTCATCAAGGACCCCGAACATTCCAGCCAAGCCTCGGTCGAAGGACTCGCCTATGCATCGATCCGCTCCAAGGTTAAGGAGGAACTAGCCGGTGATCCCGAATTTCTCAAATCACTTGTAAAAACACTCGAGTCGGCGCCGCCCAGGTCCCCTCTCATGTACGGCGCTCTCAGCATTTTTGTTAACCTTACACAATACCGTCCAGCCCTTACAGAAGAACAAAAGCGCATAAGTCAACTCAAGGCCTATGCGGATGCAGCAGGCAAGCTTCAACCCGACCCCCTGAACGACAACGAACATGTCAGCGCACGCTGTAAACGTGTCTTCGAAGCCGGCCTCACCCCCGTTCTCGTGACCATCAGCAAAACCAGCTCCGTAGCCTCCCTCACCCTCGTCATCTCGGTTCTCAACTCGCTCTCCATGACACCCTCTATGCGGGGACCGCTTGCTCAACAAGGCGCCGTCCGTCTGCTGATCGGTGCCTGGACCAACCTGCCCGAAGACGACCCGAAGAACATGACAGTCCGACGAACCGCCGCCCAGGCCCTCGCCCGTATCCTTATCTCCACAAACCCGATGCTCGTCTTCGGCGGCTCCCGTACCACCCCCATGAGCACCGCCATCCGACCCCTCGTCCACATCCTTCTCCCCGACCAAACCGCCGAAACACGCGATCTCCTCCCGACGTTCGAGTCCCTCATGGCGCTCACCAACCTCGCTGCTGTTGACGACGACACCCGCCGCACCATTGTCCGCGTGGCTTGGAGGGATATTGAGGAGCTTCTCCTGTACAACAACCCTCGCATCACCACTGCAGCCGTCGAGCTCGTTTGCAACATCGTCCAATCCCCCGAAGAAGCCGAGGCGCTCTTTGCCGATACCAGCAAACCGCAGGCGCAGACCAGGCTGAAAATCCTTGTAGCTCTAGCGGACGCCGAAGACGCCGCTACACGCAGTGCTGCCGGTGGTGCCTTGGCTGCCTTGACGGGATATGAGAGCGTGGTGAAGGCTATTGCGGAGCGCGAACGCGGACCGGAGATTATTCTTGGGCTGTGCGAGGACGATAACGAGGATCTAAGGCACCGCGGCGTATTTGTTTTGTTGAATATGGTGGCATGCGAGGGCCAGACGGGCAAGCTGGCCAGAGAGAAGTTTATGAGCAAGGGCGCGGTGGAGATCATGAGGGATGTGGTTACCAGGTCGAAGAGGAGGGAGATTGTGGAGCTGGCTGTGCAGTGTCTGAAGTTGTTGTTGGGGAAGGAGTGATTTGCTTTTCGTGAGAAGCAAAGAGGCCAATGTTGTGGAGGTACATGAGATGCCTTGCTGATTTGTTCTGTTTTCTTTATTTCAACTGTTTGAGTATGTTGTTGTACAAAAACAGTGGTACGGTTCACTTACGGGATTGGGGGCATGGCGGACAAGGCCGGGGACAGGTAACAGGCATCGTCAATATTGTTAACATTGTTAACATCTCATTCATCACATTTGGAGTTGGAGTTTTTTTTTTTTGGTAAGGGTGGGAAAGCAGACAGTCAGGTAGGCGTGTGACGAAGATCATCAGATTGGAGAGTAGCAGAAGGGGTAACTACTGTTGTTATTAGCTGCTTACCTCTGTACCTAACTTGACTATCATGATCACATTGTATTTGAACAAAGCACGGCCGTGCATTTCTGCGTACGGTGTATATTGTCGTGGTTTCTTGCCATTCCCTTGTTCATCGTTTCACAAGCCTCATTCATCCTCGCTTCACTGGCTGTGGATGCCATGGACATGGGAGGTGTTAGCTTGGTATCCTTGTGAAGGTCTTTACTAAAAAGAAAGGAAGGAAAAAGGAGATAAAAGGAGGAGGAGGTGAGGAGGAGGTGAGGAGGAAGGAAGAAAAAGGAAAAAAAGGAAGAACATACAACACCAGGGATTCGCTGGTCGTCACCGACCCAACTACTAGTCTGGCCCTCACTGGCTTATCTATGGGAGAGCGGACGGGATCCCGAGTTTTCCAGTGGGTATGGTCGTACGTGCTTTCTTGTTCTCAGTCTGCGTGTTATAAAACCATCTTGCTGCTTTCCGTTAGGTTACGAACAAACAGTGTCTGATGATGTATTAGAGGGCATCGCCACCGGTGATTGTCATTGTTGTTCTTGCTACGATACGTCGCGTGTTATCTTTCCGCATGCTTCATCCGCTGCCCCGTTTACGCCTGATCGCTCTCGTCTGCGGCCCCCTGCCACCACCTCCTCTATCTTACCCGCCTCCTCATCTACCTTACCTCTGTCGGAACTGACGGGAGTATGGTCAACTGCACCTACCTGCCAACCCCGTGATGCAGGCAGGAAGCCCTCGAAGAAGGCCGGTATGCAGAAAGCAACGCCCGTTGCAGGAAGAGAAAGACACCATCACCAGTTCAAGAAGGAAGTCTTCAACTGGAAGGGAAGGAGGCCGTTGCCAGCCACAAAAAGGATGGCTGATTGGGAGCTGGGAGGGCCACCAAGAACAGGTATATAATCTGGGCCTCCCCCGCCCTTTGGATGGTTTCTTTTCCTCCTCTCCAGCATTAAGCACTTATCCAAATCTTTGGCATCCTTCAACCTTTTCGCTTATAACTCTTTCTCTCATCTTGAGTTTTCCCTTTTCTTGAGTTCTCTTATTTCTCGAATTTTCTCACTTCTCGAGTCTCGGACCCTGACTGAGTCCCCAAAGCCAAGGCCAAGTGGGAGTTTAAACCCAAGCCCAAGACCGAGTCCCACGCCGAGATTGAACCCTCCCGGTTCCCCAAGCCCTGCATCATCAGAATTACTGAAAAGTAAGCTGTTTTGGGTCGATGTCTTTCGAGTGTTTTACCCAGAAACTAACGCATCTCTATAGCGCGTCATGCTGCGGTACAAATAATCGGATTTGTCCTCGATCATGGGTGGATTAAAACTCAGCGAAAATCCCACCACCTCAACAAGTACCAGCAATAGTTCCAAACACAACTTCTACACGGCAACAAATACCAGCAATAGTTCCAAACACAACTTCTACACCGGTACCGGCACCACCCCCCTATGAGGAGGGAGAGGGAACAAACGGCAGCAAACCCATCTTCACCTCGTTTGTCGATGAATCTTGGGAAAAAGACCGCTCTCGGTTCCAACCGACATAATACCAGGCCAAGCATGGTGTCTACGGCGTTGTTTTCCGCAATCCTTATATCGCTCTGATACCTCTACGGCGTCTGCTTCTCGTGAATACGATGACTTGTCTGCTTCCGATGCTGAGTCTAAGCCCAAGCACGATGTCGTCTCCAAACTCGAGCCCATCGAAGAAAGCTATCTTGAAGGATACTATGAGCAACACCAGACTTGGTTGGCTTCGAGAGCCTAGAAGAACCTCGAGCTGTTACCGAATGAATGGCTCCCCCCTCTCCCCTCCAGCTGCCTGCCTTAGATCTGGAAGAGCGTGATCTCGAGGACTTTGGCGATCGGGAAGAAGATACTGTCGCTATGGCACTGGAAATCGCAGCAGACGAACACCTGACATTCATGCCACAGACCACCGAGTCTGTATTCACTCAAGCGCTTGATCCTTTGCCGACCGCAGAGACATATCTTGATGGGTACCAAGCTCTCAACGCCAGAAGTGGCTGGCTCCGGGGGTTTAGAAAAACCTCGAGCTGCCCGCCCAGGATTGGCTTCCTGCACCACTGCCCCCCTTAGACTTTGAAGAGCATGATCTTGAAGCATTCGACGAAACAAAAGAAGAGATTGTCGCAACGGCAATGGAAATTGTAACAGACGAACACATAACATTTACACCACAGACCGCATACAAGCCCTCCAACAACAGACAAGAGTACCAAAACGCCCGACGCCAAGGCTTCCAACCCGGATGGTGGGCGTCCCAGGCTACCTCACACCTCGCCTCTTCTCAAAAACAACACCTTTACCAAGCCACAACATCCAGTTTGATCCACAATAGCTTCAACTCTCGGTCCTTCGACGGCCCCCTGGGACTCTCTCCGGCCAAGCTCGACGCTTTGATTGCAATCTTCCCTTCAACAAACCCCAAAGGGGGTCTGACTGTGCGAGAGTATCAGTCAATTGCACAGACAGGAGGCAGAAATGCAGAGACAGGATGCAGAAATGCAGAGACAGAAGGCAGAGAGGCGAAGACAACTGAGGTCCTGCTTTGCTCTTACAACCACTCCAATGTGGAATATCGCATTCAACTTTGAGCTTTTGAACGATAACAGATCTCGCTTGTCGCGCTTGCGCTTTTTCGAATCAAAACACTCTTGAATACCACAATCAACCAACACATCTTTGTCAATTTACCCCTGCCGCGCATCAAGGGCTTGGAAGGGGAAAGAGGCTAATATATTTCGCAGCGAGGACTCCTGGGTGTTCTTTGCCCAGGGCAATTCTCTGCCCTACTACGAGGGTTTCCCAGGGAATTTCTTTTTGCCTCTAAACCGGCAGCTACTTACCCCCGTCCGGCACGATGAGCGCTTGAAGCTTCTTACCAAGCTGGGCCAAAGCCTCTATAGTAGGTACCAAATTTGGCGCGGTGCGTGACCGATATTGGTGGCGCTATGGCGATGATGCCTTCATTGACACGGGCTCAAGCTATCGGAGCCATATCGCAGCTGGATACGCCAACAAGCCTAATTTCCAGTGGTACAGTGAACACCCATGCAAGTTGGGGTTCAAGTCGCCTATGGACGACATTCTTGAGATGTACCGGGAATTAGCTTGACCATCTGCACCTTCACGAACGTCTCACTCGTCCTGCTCTTGCAGCAAGCACATTGCCGCCGGCGACTGCCACTGTTGCTCTCAGGCTTTCTCTTGCTCCGACACGTCGCGTGTTCTCCTGCCGCGTGCTTCATCCGCTGCTGGGATCGATCGCTCATCCCATGAGGTCGAGTCTCAGGGTTGCTCCTGCTGTTGAACCTAATGACTCGCGTGTTTCCGATGCCCTGTCTAGCCCCTGCTCCGACGCGGCTTCTGTCTCTGGCTGTGAACGCGATGATTCCGTCGCTTCCGATGCCAAGATCTATCTCCACGATTTACCTCTACGATGCTGTGGCGGATCTCGCCGCCGAACTACAACTCCGTCGCTAGAGATACCACTATCTTCACTAACTCCCCCCTTATCTCCACCCCAATTCCCTTCCGCCCCGGCTTCGATGCCATCCTCCTCTACCACGGGTCCGGGCCATCAACCGTTATCCGACCCCACCCCGTCTCCCCCCTCACCTTCTTACGAAGAAGCACAATGGTGAAAGGGGTTAGCGGCTTGAATAATTAGGGCATGACGGGGCAAGGCAGCACAGGCCTGGGGTATACCGGGGACTACCCGACAGCCGCACAAGTCCATAGGTAGCGAAGGCCTCGAAGCTTTGGTTCAAAAGAAGGACACAACCGTTAATACGACCGATCATCGCCCATATCCAGCAGAAGAAGTCCAGCATTGAGAAAGCAGCTTCCGCCCGCATGTATTCATGGGTATGTTGGTGATGGAGACCTACAACATTGCGGACAGCGTGATGAGAAGCTGCGTTTTTGTAGTACACTTGTGCATTTGTACCACAACCAGTACGAGAGCTGGCTTGGTTCGGAAGCCTAGAAAGATTTCGAGCTCGGACCTGAGGAGTGGCTACCTCCCCATAACCTTCTCGAGGATCGTGACTTGGAGGAGTTCCCGGATACGGAAGAAGATGTGACTGCAATGGCAAAACAAATTGCCGCCGACTCGCGTATTTCCGAGCAGCTTACTTTCGGACCCGTGAAGGCGGAGTCGGTGTTCACACACGGGACCCCGTCGATGCATCTTCCGTTTTCACGCATGGGATACTTGATCCATTGGAGCCTTCCTATTTCGATGAAATGACACAAGCATCGGAATGGAAAGAAGCATATAATGCCGCATCGGAAGAGTAAAGAGCAGCCCAACCGTGGAAGGACCTATCCTTGCCGCCATAGTCGTGGCTGCCCCCTTCTTTGGAAGGGTACCCCGAGGCCCAAGCACTAGCAAATTTTGAAAGCATCTTTCAACCGGTGACTACATCCTCGGTGTTTACACAGGGGGTACTGGAACCTGCGGGAATCTGAACAGCAACATGCTGTGAGATTCCTCGTATTTAAGACCGCTCTCCCCAGGCCTTGGGAGCTGTTCTCTTTTCCCCCTCTCCATCCCATTCTCCGTCAGTCTTTTTTGGAACCTCATACCCTCTCCTCTATCTTTTGGCCATCAACAACATTGGTACCATGTCGCAGTAGAACCGCGAGCAACAGCTGCGAAAACTCGCTGACCAGCTGCTGATACCAATTGGTCCTGGTCACGAGCTACAGTGGACAGCAGCGATTCGAGAACTCTGCTACGTCTACTGATTGGTGGGGATGATGATGGCGGGGATGATAATCATGGTTGATGGTGACTTTGTTTGGGAATGATTTTGGTGACGATGGTGATGTTGGCGATGTTGGTGATATTGGTGATATTGATGATGATGATGGTAATGCCGAAGGAAGGTGATGAAGATCGGATGCTTCCGAGGGGATCAGGCGAGAGGAAAGTGAGGAGAGGCAACGGGCGGCAGCAGGGACGGAAGGAAGGACGGGGACGCGAGTGGGGTTTGCATGTACTCTCGGCTCTTGTTGGGCCAAGTCAGGTTTCGGGGGAAGGTGCAGAATGAGATGGGTATGCTGAAAAGAAAAGGGGAGGAAGGAAGACATGATCTAGTTGACGATTCGGTTTTGAGAAAAGATATGTTAAATTGAGATATTTGGGAAGGAAAAAGATTATTGTTCTTTGCAGAATCCTGGCTGAAGATCGTATATATATATCATCAACCGAGTGATGCAGTCCAGTGACACCACCAAGTTGTCGCTCCAGCCTTGTTTGGACAACTTCACTCGCTGCTGCCCCGAAGCGGCGAACTGAGGCTAGCAATCTCTCGCCCGATACTTGTAGGTTGTTCTAATGGAAGCAGCTCACATCAATCTGGATAATGCAGGTGATCCGAGGGCACCTATTACCTCATGGTAGGCAAAAAATGTATGTCGGTTAAAACCGGTTGCGAACTTGTTCCATCCTTCTTCATCTCACCTTCGACCCGGACTCCCATTCCTTTCGTTGTAGTAGTTCCACACATTCTCTTGAAAGAAGACATCATCACCTCGGTCAAGATGGCCGACATCATTCCAGCATCTCCCACTTCCGTTGCCCTCTCCTCCCATACATCGGACGACATAACCCCTCCCCCGTCCGGGCCGGATCTGGCCCAGGCACCTGCACCTGCACCATATAAGGTCCCTTACCTAGCCGCAATACCACAACGGGCGGCCCAGTGGTCAGATGGCTGAGTGGTTCCCGTTGATGAAAACATTGCCGGGTGCGCGGCGCTCGAGGTACAGTTTTCGTAGGTTGCAGCTGGGGCGTTGTGTGTTCGTTCCACAAGCTTACCTGGGCAACTTAGCTTTTTGCTTTTTCCATTCAATCGGGAGATTATTCTAATTGTTGGATATGAGGAGTTTGCATTTTTCTTTTGTTTTTTTTTGTCTTCAAATATGGGTTTTTTTCGTGGGAGGTGTGGTGGGAAGTGGAAGGTGCCCCCCACTCCCATGCATTCACTTCCAGGTACCAACACTGGCAGGACACTCGTCGGACACTCGTCGGACACTCGTCAGAGCAACGAACTTTGGTTGTCATCAATCGCATGATTCTCATTTAATTGCAAGTGCAAATGACTGTAGAACTCATGATCCCGGTATTTTTTCTTTCAAGATACAAATAACCCCTTCCCTTTCTCGCAAATTGGCCAGGGAGGTGGACTGGATCTCGCGCCGCCTATTGTCCACTCCCAGCGTAAACACGGCCAACGCTTCTTCGAATCAAAAAGTAGGCATCCCGCGAGAATCACAATCCGTCGCAGGATCAAACGCATTCTTCTCTACCATCTTCAACACTTGGGCCAACATCTTGAACACCTCACCGCCGCGCGACGACAGCCTTACCAGCTCTTTCACTCTCTCCACCCAATCCAAACCGCCCCTCACGTACTCGCGCACCATCATCATCTTGATGTCGTGATTCTTATGGTTGAACTTGTCCTTGATCAGCTTCAACATCTTGCCATCTAGTCCCACCCTGCCCCGGCCGCTGGAAAACTCTTTCGGAATGATGTAACCAGACTCGCTTGAAAATATCAACAAGCGACGAAGGATTTTCTGCATAGTTCTGGCAGCACTGTATTTGGATTCTCTCTGCGATTCGAGGTCGATTGACTGGAGGATTAGATCGAAGATTTGGTCGACTCTGGTGTAGAGCTCTCTCATCCGTCGGGTCCTCAACTCGAAGGCGGAAGGATCCAGATCCCGTGCACCGGGGATTGTGCAAAGGCTGGTCTGGACTTCTTGGTAGTAAGGCTCGAAGCCGATGATGCGGCTGTTACGCTCCTGGTGGTCCTTTGCTTTGTTGTACTTTTGCTGGAGCAGTTCGCCGAAGGTATTCGGATGGCGGGCGGCGGCGAGAGCAAGAATGGCGTCTCGGTCGCTGAAGGAGATCAGGGGGTCATTGTTTAGGTGGTTACGCGCAGAGAGGAGGGAGAGGGCGTGATTTTCTGCGGTTGAAAACCTTTTTTGGTAGGTGGAAGGGGAAGCGGAAGCGGAAGCGTCTTCTTCCTCTTCAATGTCGCCTGATGCTGAGACTTCGACCGAGCATGATTCTTCAAGGTCGCTGTCGATGCGTGCTCGTTTCTTGGGCGGGTGACCGCGGTGTGAGGTGCGGGCATTGATGTGAGCCATCTTTAACGAGATGATTGATGGTCCTTTTGACAGAATGAATGGGACAGAGGTGGAAGAAAGAGAGGTGAAATTGAAGGTGGAAGATCAAGAAGATGGAACAAGTCAGTCAGCACGTTTGGAACCGTCTTTTATATCTGAAACCATGGGCTAACCCTCCACCTGTCATTAGATCACAATTACGGTGTCATCACGCATAGAACAGGTCATTGACATGGAAGTGCTCGATGATAGCTGAAGTGACCCCCCTCCCCCCCTTGCAACCAAAACCAAAAACAACAACAAAAAGCACCGCGTCAGATGTGCATGGGCCGCATCGCCCTTTCTGACATCTCTGCATTTAGTAAGCGCACTCTCGCTATGCTTCCTGTATTTTGATAGCACGTTTTTTTATGCAACACGAATGCATTTTTCGACATGAACCATGCCTCAACGTTCTACCAGGACATTATGTGAAAGCATCACACCCACATAGCCCCCTTACCCAGAAAAAACATCCCACTCTTCTCCCACCTTTGGGCTGTCCCCATCCCTCCCCGAGTTCGAACTCAGCTTTTCTCGACACACCATACAGTCGAGCCTCCACTTCAAGAAATCAGTTTCCTCTATTGCATGTTCTCCGTCTTGTGCCTCTGGCTCAGACGATATGACCCATCCACTATTCGGTACTCAATCCTAACTTTCCCAACCCCGAGCAACTGACGGCCGCCGTACCCTACTGGAAATGCCTTCATAAACGACTGCCTTGGAAGAACCCAACGTTTGCCAGAATCCCTCGTATATCAAATCGACATTGTATTAGATTGCACACGATCTCTGAGATAAGTAATAAATAGCGACTCGAAAACCAAAATAAAGTATAAAGCAAGAATGATCGTCGAAGAACGAATGTGCTAACCCCACTTGTGAGGAAGGTCAGAACCTCCGTTCACTGCCCTGCTGTTTTGGGCAGCAAAGGCAGGATGCGGGTGAGGTGGCATTGAGCCAAACACCTCGTCCATCATAGGTAACATTCGTTTTTTATTCAGCTGCACCACACACAACTCATCATCACATTAAATTCGATACATAAGGCTGACTACTGGTCAATCAAAGCACATACGACCATACCCACTGGAAAACTCGGGATCCCGTCCGCTCTCCCATAGATAAGCCAGTGAGGGCCAGACTAGTAGTTGGGTCGGTGACGACCAGCGAATCCCTGGTGTTGTATGTTTTTTCTTTCCTTTTTTCCCTTCTTTTTGCCTGCATTATTCCCGATTCCTTTCTTCATGGGTGGTGAATCTCGTGCCACACACACAGTCTTCCCCGTGGCGTCTCTCCTGCCCGTCCCATCAAAGAATAGCCAGTATCAAGTAAACAACATCTCGCAAGACGAAGTGACAACGCTGATGTAGAATGTGATTAAACTCATCCACACTCATGTCATGGGCATTGCGTTATTTATTCTTGTTCTTGTTCTTATTCATCGTGTTGTTATTCGTACAACATAGTTCTAAGTAGTGGAGGACAGATACGTACATGGGCATAACGCGGTACTAAGGTATATGTTAACAAGAAGCACGAATTGCGCGCTCGAAGGGGGATATATAAACCAAGAAGACAAAGAACCAAACATAAAAGCGCAAAGGAAATCAACATTGCCCATCCATTCGTCCAATCCCATCCCAACCGATTGGTGGCATCCATCGCTTCATCCAGTTTCCATCCCATAGATTCCATCCGTTTCCTTTTGCTCGCTCCCTCCTTGGAAGGGTAAAGGGGAGGATCAAAACCAAAAACCGACAGTCCACTCTCCTATGTGATGTCTTGTCTGTTCATGTCATGTACGAAAAGTCCGGATTCGCATCGATCTTCCGTTGCAGAGACATTTCCCTCTCCAACATGAGTTTCCGCTGCACGCTTTCTCTCTCCAACAAGAGCTTCAGCCGGTGAAACTGATGATGACTCCCACCGCTTTTCCTGACTTTTTCTTCTCGTTCCTTTGCACCTTCTGACGACGATCCCCCTCCCGCGCTTCCTCCCTGCTGCTGCTTCATCTTCCCTTTGACAACGCTCCTGCTTCTCTTCCTCCTCCCCACGGGTATCGTAATTTTACCTTTATTTTTCTTGTTCTTCTCATTATCCATCAACCCACAGCAATTGTCATCGCTTCCACTACTACCGACACTCGTACCGGCCACGCTGCCAGCACGACTGCGTCTTCCACCACCACTGGCGACGCTGCCAGCACGACTGCGCCGTCCACCAGCGCTAGTAGCACTGACACGACTAGCACCACTCCCAGCCCGCCTCCGTAGGCCACCACCACCACCACCCCCAACACTACCGTGTAGACTAACGCCACTACCAGAACGACTGCGCCGCCCCACCATGGTGGGCATGGTAGGCATGGTAGGCGTAGGCATGGTCGTCTCAGGAGTGACCATCCCGCTGTTCACCAACCCGTTCCCACAATCACACTTGGGGCCGCAGCAACACCCACAGCTTCTCCGGCCACAGCAACCACAACCGCAACTCCGGCCACCCCCACCCATTGATGATAAACCAAAACAACCAACGCTCGTAGCGCTTGAACAGTAGGACAAGGACGATGAGGGCAACCGGGTGCGGGCGCCCCCCTAAAAACAGTTCAGACTCCCCTTCTTCTTCTTCTTGCCCGACGCCAGGCTCTGCATCCTCTCCTCGAGGTGCTGTCGCGCCCGCTCGGCGTCCACCCGCTTCTTCCGCTCTTCCTCGACCTGCTGCAGGCTCCACCGGTTGTCCACCTGGGGCTTGTCCTTGAGCTCCTTGAGCTCGGCCTCGAGCTCGCCGGCCCGGCGCTTCCAGGCGTCGGCGTCGGCCTTGATCTTGAGCTGTTGCGTCTCGAGATCGGTGAGCGCTTCTTCCAGGGTGGCGGTAAGTTGTTTCTCGGCCGAAAGGTTCTTCTCGATGATGCGGATGCGGGCTTCCTGGTCTTCTTGAATGGCTTGGAACTGCTGGTTGGACAGTGCAGCAGCAAGAATGTCCTTGGAAGGAGGGCGGGGAGCGCCACTTGTAGGGGAAACGGCGCCGTTTGCGCGATCGGAGGGGAGCGGCGGGAGAGGAATCGCAGGCGGGGGCGAGGGGAGGGACTGGACGGAGTTCGACTTGCGGAGGGGAGAGCCCGGGTTGGGCGCTGACTTGGAGTCGGAGCGTTGAGGAACGGATGCCGCCTGTTCGTTGTACTTGGCCTAGAGTTAAACATTAGTATGTGGCGATTGCAATAGGTAGGGTAGATGGGGAGGGTAGGCCAAAATACCTGAAGAGCAGCCAACTCCTCCTCCAGCCTGATTATGGCAGCATTTGCCTCCTCCAGTTGTTGAGTCTTTTCCGACTGGAGAATCGACAACCTGTTGCTCGTAATCTGCACCTGGTCGTAGTTGCTCTGCAGTTGATCCTCGAGCTCCTCCACAAGGCGCGAGTTCTTCTTGTTCTTCGTCTCCAAATCAACCATCTTCTTCTTGACCAGGGCCACGGATTCCTTGACAGGGTAAAGAGTCTTAACCTTGTCATTCTCCGTGGTCAACATGTCTGCGAGAGCGGCCTTAACGGACTCCAGTTCGTTCATAACCTGATCATTGATGGATGTGAGCTCAACAACATGCTGCTCCAGTTCGCCACGCTTCTTCTGCTCCAGGTCCACGAGATCGCGGGATTCGAGGAGATCCTCGATGCGCTCCGAGAGCTTCTCGATGCTGACTTCGAGACCAAAAGCCATCGCGACCTGAGTGGCGACCCTCAGGAGATCTTCCCGAGCATCGGTAAGTTCTTCCTCGAGACGTCTTACCTTCTCAGAATGCTCAGCCTTGAGGGCCTTCATCTCAGCCTCGACCTCACGTCTGGAAGCGGTTCTCGCCTCCTCAAGCTCCAATTGGTGGTTCAGCTCAAGAGCATGCAAACTCTCCTGGTGAGCCTTGATGGTCTGCTCGTGCTCGGTGATCGACTCCTCGAGCCTGCTTACAAGCTGCTTGTTGTGCTCGGCTTCGGCAGCGGCGTCGTCGCGTTCTCTGGTTGCAGCATCAAGCAGGACCTTGGTGGCCGCGGCCTGCTCTTCGGCCTGTGTAACCTTCGCCTGTGTCCTGTTGATGAGCTCTTTGGAATCATCAATCTCGCGGCGAAGGAACTCCACAAGCTCCTTGTGCTTCTTCTCCTTTGCTGCCTCGTCGCCTTCGGGTTCCTTATGTCCATTCTGAGCAAGCTGATCATTGAGCGAAGTGACTTGACCCTCGGTCTGGGCAAGTCGCGAGCTCAACATGCTGGACTGAGTCTCCGTCTCGGTAAGCTGTGTGGTTAGGAATGATATCTGGCTTCCAAGCTCGGCCATCGAAGACTTCATCCTATCTTCCGCGTCCTGAAGGTTCTCCAGGGCAGCCTTGTGCTTAGCTTCCCAACCGCGAAGTTCGGCCTCCAACTCGAAGATCCTCTTCGCCTGCGCATCCGAATCTCCGTCAAACACCTTGGGTGCAACCGACGCAGGATCAACACCAGCCTGGTGCAGGGCGTGCTGCAACTCAGAAATCTGAGCCTCCAGCTCCCTCTGCCGGATGGCGTTAGACTCCCGCAATTCCTGCACTTGCTTCTCACTCCTCTCAAGCTGCTCCCTCAGGCTGGAAACCATAGCCATATCCATCGGCGATGTCGCCTTCAAGCTGGACCTCTCGCGAGTCAAGCCGGAGATGATGGTCATCTTGGTCTCCATCTCCTTCTTCGCAGTTGCCACATCCACCTCCAGTTCTTGGATCCTTTCCGAGCGCGCGTGGAGTTCGTGCATAGCGGCGTTCAAGTTGAGCTCGAAGTTGGCCATCACATCCGGATCATGTAGGTTTTCGGATGCGATGTTGCTGAGCGTGGCGAAAGAGCGATGGGCGCGATCGATGATCATCACGTTCTGGCTGGACTTGCGGCGGATAACCGGAGTGCTGGTTCTTGATATCGACGATTCCACGTTGAGAGCCTGGGCCTTGGCAATCTCCGTCTTCAGTTCTTCCACCATGTCGAGAGTTTCCTGGTGCTTCTCCTCCAGTTGAGCATACCGCATTGCAAGCTCCCTCTCAGCGGCCTCCTTTGCAGCGGCAATGAACTTCAGCTTCTGGATCTGAGCATCGGCATCCGCCTCGTCAATCTCCGAATCGTGATGTTTGGCAGTCTCGGCATCCGAAGCGTCCGTAATAACCGTATGCGAACCCAGGGCCGATGACAACTCAGACGACAAAGATCGGTGTCCAGTCTTGGTCTCGCCGGACATGAAGGACATGGGCCTCGTACCCGGTGCTGATACCGAAAGAATGGAATCCCGTACACGGCTCGGATGGCGGGCCTCGTCGATGGCATCCTGCAGCTCCGCGAGCGCCCGAAGAGCCTCCTCGTGCTTAGCTTGGAGAGCGCTGTAGTCATGCAGAGTTGTCTCATGCTCAGTGCGGAGCTCAACGAGCTCCTTGGTAACGGTCTCGAACTTATCCACAGGTACCAGTTTGCCTGCCAGTTGAGCGTGCGACGCCTTCGGTGTCGATTGGTTTGCCTTGTCCGTTGGGGTCGCATCGTCATTCTCCTCATCTTCCTCGGGAATGTCCTCCTCGCTGCTCTCCCGGATCGGTTCATCGAACTGGCTTCGGTGGCTGACATGGCTCTGGCTACGTGAATGGTTGGCATAGTCCCGGCTGGCCATCTTCCGATGGCGCGCTCCGTTGGTGAGTTCATGCTCGTTCTCGGGGATGGTCGGCGGATCTTGCTGGATGTGGTCAAGTTCGTTTAGCAAAGAGTCCAGCTTTCCGAGACTGCGCTGTCGTTCAATAACCTGCTCAAGACGGTCAATTTCCCTCTGCATCAACTCGGCATCCTGATCAGCCTCGGCGAGACGCTCTTCCAGGGTGGAGATGTAGTCTTCGGCATTTGCCTCATTCTCCCGTACCCGAGCAATCTCCTTGCGCAGCTCGGTAATAATGGTGGCGTGCTTTTCCTCCCCCGAAGTGTGGGTATCCAGCTTAGCCTCCAGGTCATGTAGGTAGTTTTCCGTACTAGCCTCACGGTCCATCAGCTTTTGCAGCCTCGCCTGGAGTTGAGTGTTGATGGTCTCCGTATATGCACACTTTGTTTCCTTCTCGAGCAGCGTAGTCTCGGTGTTAGCGAGGGTGGCCCGAGTGCTGGCAAGGGACTGCTCAAGCGATTGGATTGTCTTTTCGTATTCGAGGACGACCTGCTCGACGGCCTGAGCGAAACTGTTTGAGCGATTTAGACGTTCGGTGGCGCTTTCACCCAAGCTTTCCTCGAGATGCTGGTTCTCCGCAAACTCGTTCTCCCGCGCCTTGGCCATCTCGGAAATCAGCTTCGCGTGTCGCTGGGATAGCGTGGTATAGTTTTCCCTGGCGTCTAGTAGCTGGTTCTGGAGCTCGACCTCCCGTTCATTCTGCCGCTCGGACCTCTCCCCAGGAGCTAGCAACATGCTACGTCTGTCACCCCCGCCCCTTTCCGAGCTCCGAATTTGCTCTCGCAGGAACGCGACCTCGGCCTTCAAACGCTCGATAAGGGCCTGTTTGTCGCCCTCGTCCACCTGTTGTATCCTCGGCTTGCTCTGAATCGCTCGCGCTCTCTGGGCGTATTGCACGGTATTGAGTGTTTCGCTAAGGTGGAATTCGGCCTGGGTTACGCAAGCTATCATGTACGTGATGGCATTTCCACCCAAAGAATCCTGAAGCAAGCGAGTGAGCTTCGAATCTCGGTACGACACATGTGCGCCTGGTTGCCGTGACGAAAGCTGCGATATAACCTTGCCTAGGGCGGCCAGACCAGCATTGATGGAAATACCCTCCTTGGCACGCTCGCCTTGGGCTCCGGTATTCTTGAGACGTTCGCTACCGGCTAAATCGACAAAGTGCATCTTGCTATCGGTGGTGACCATGGCCTCTGTACCGGACATGGCCTCGAGCGGCATCGACATGCGTCTATCTGTGGGCGCCGTCGGACCCTTGGCTCCTTTTCGTACCAGGTTAAGGCTGAAGACGGCATGGGATCTCGAAGATCGGGCGTTGATGGCTGTCGCATCGGTCTGGCGGAGTGCTGAACCCTGGGCTAAAACATTCATCAGATCGTCGACCGAATTAACCTCGATTTGCTGCAACCCGGTGAGGATGATGTTCCCCTTGACATCCTCACGGATGGTGACGGAGCCGCGCTCATGCTGTGGAATCTGCTCTGGGATTAGGAGATCTCGCAGGGTTTCGTTGTAAATTTCGACGTAAGTCGCCGTCAGTTTCCAATCTTTGTCGATGTTGGAAGGCTGAAGCATCGAGACTCTCGAGGGGGCACGCATCTGGGACATGGAACTCCGTTTCGAAGCCGCGCCCTGGGGCTTTGGACTTGAGCCGTCCAGCTTTTCGAACAGGGCGATGGC